CTTCTATAACCTTATCTGCATCTTTCAACATCCCAAGACGATTTACATGATTTAATATGTGATATTATACAGTTCAGTCGTGTGTTCTCAAGTGGGCAGAATGACAGCGTGAAGGTTGGCAGTCACTTCCAGGACTGAAGGTGTAGAAATGGGGTCACAGGCGTGTGCAGGGACAGAATTAATGTTGCTACACACTGTCCGACCTTGTAGCCTCCTGTACAACTTCAGGGGAACATAAATTATAACTTAAAAGAGTTTCTTTCTGGTTTTAGTCAAGTGGCAGCTGAGTGTAGAGGGCTTAACACAAACATGGTGAAGCTGCTGGACCTCCAGTCTTCTCATTATGGGGATTGTGAAGCTCATCTCCTTTGTAAGGTGTTGGATGTCTACTGATAAGAGATATTATTAATAAGTACTTGAAATACAGCTTTTTTCTTTCTGTTTTCATGTCCTGTAAGCTCAGAAATAGCTCACAACAAGCAGAAGAAAAATGTGTAACAAAATTAAATAAAACAAAGAAGAGGTGGAAGCTGGAATGGCTTACAAATCTTGTGGAAAAGGGAGGTTTCCAATCTTATGGAAATATGGAGAGTCAGCAGATGACACCAGTGAAAGTTGTGATGCCTGTAGACTCAGATCCAAGCAAATTCTTTTTGCCTGTCTGTGTGTCCTAGGCAAAGTTCAGTCTATTTGTATCCAGCAGTTAATGTTTTACTCAAAGAGGGCACCTTTAATGGTTTGAACAGTTCTCTAATTAAGATATTAAGGCAATGGCGCATCTAATTAGTGCCATTTAGTCAAACATGATCACAAGGACACAGGAGGTGTCATCAGGTTCTTCACGTAGTTCTGCTCCTTTCTGCTGAACTCAGGGCTAACCTTGGCCATCAATAACTCCAGCTCACTCCAGGGCAAACTTAACCCCCTTCTCCTACTAGTCAAAGTTCTGCTGTGGAAAGCAAGAACAAATGGGAACTAGCTGGGAAAGAGGTAGTTATTGAGGCATCAACTGTATGGCAGGTGAGGAAAGTCCAGAGACAGACCAAAGGCAGTACTGGATGTTTCCAAAGGGACAGTTGCTAGGAAAAGATCCTCAGGGACTTATCCAGGGGACATTTGTGCCAGAAGGTAACCATACACATCCTATAAACAGAAATTATGTCCAACCCAACAGCTCCTGAATGTAATCCTGCTTATCTTTATCTTGACCCCATCCTGCCAGGCATGAGCGTCTAATTTAATTATTGCACCCTATATGAGATAAGAATTGTTTTCCCTGTTTTTATAAACAAGATACCATCAAAATTGCAACTTGGCACTGCTCACTGGTAAGTTCAGTGTGTTGCCTCATGGAAAATTAAACAGTGGAAGCAACAACAAGGCCAAACCCTTTTCAGTCAGCAAATAACCAGGTCTCCCCATCAGGACAAGAAGCACAGGAGAGCAGCAAGGAAGGAAGGGTGATTGTGACCCACCTTCTTAAACTAATTGGCAGATGGGCATTTTTAAAGCCAGCTGAGGAGAGAGAAGGTGTAGGTCTACCCAGGGGCTTTTCTCCATCCCTTTCTGGACAGTCTGCTCAGGAGTCAGTTATTACCTATTCAGGTAATAACGTTCTTCACCCTGAAGAACTTTACCTGACACAGTAAAATGGACTACTCATGATTTTAACTCAATGATATACCTGAAAATAGTCTTTTTTCTACCTTAAAGCCAAAGCAATGTAAATCAGTTTTCCATTCTTATGTTTATGCAATTAATAGAACAAAGATATATTTCTATTCCTGATAAAATCTATACATTACATTCAGTAATACTCAGGAATGTAAAGATGGTAATATCCACTTACAGAGAGTAAATTTACTTGCTCTTCCTCAAGGCAAATGAACAACAGCCAAAATGGATGGGGGTGTGATTTATTCCTTCCCATTGGCAGCTCTTCACTTCCTTAATTCTTCAGTCCTGTACTTTCTGGCCTCTATTATGGGTTGTGGAGCTCTTCTGCAGTGCTGCAGTGCCCTTTGGAATCACAGGAGGTTCTCAGGCTGTCATGGTGCAGATAATCTGCACTAGGGTACAGAACAGGACCACCCTAGAGCCAGTGGGGGCACCATACCTGTCCCCCTTGTGTGCACACCCAGCTCTCTGGTAGCCCAGTGAAACTCCAGAACTGATTTTTCCTCAGGTCTGGGACACCGAAGTTCGGAAACAGAAACATCTTATGAGCGAGGCGTGTTGTCCTGACAGCTTCAGTTGTCGTGGAGAAATGTGCAGCTGGATTCAGAGTGCCCTGAACTGTGGAGCTATTGATTGTGTTGAACAAGAATTCAGGCTTGTACTTTTCAAAAATTGCAATTAGGCTCGATGCCTCGTTTGGGGCATGAAAGGCTGATTTGAGGAGGTGTCAAGGTAATCCTACTGCACCTACATGTGTTAGATAAGTGTTGTGTGTGCTCATCTCCCGGGTCCTAAGAATTTCGGCTTATAGCTAAACTTTCCAAATGGCATGTAAGTTATATATATAAACTTAGATTAAAAAGAAATAAATTGAGGATTAGGAGTACTTTGAGACTGGGACATCAAAACTGAGCTGGTTTTAAGGGGCTCAGTTTCAGGAGCGTTGAACAGCACCTAGAAGGCTCCTTTAGAGAATCTCAGTGTAGGCCACCATTATTTTTTTAACACCTAATAACTTTTACAGCATTGCAAAGAAAATATGCTTTGGATTTCTTTCACCTCGACAGCTTCTACTTGAAACAACAACAAAAATTTAATAAACCTCAAAGGATCCATTTGCAAACCAGGAGTAAATCATTCATCATTGTCAATTGTGATGTTTTATATAGCACAATGCTTTTCTGAAGAAACTTTCCCTCCATGGCCACCATCTGGTGCAACTCCTGAGGGCAAGTTAAGGCTGTGTAAGAGATCTGCAGGGCCCCCTAAAACACTTCTGAGAAAAAATGAAAGTCCTATTCCAACAGACTCAAGAGAGCTCACAAACAAAGGAGTCATTCAAAGCTTTATCGCAGCTTGGAGTGAGGGTGTGAAGATATTGAGAAAACTATTTAAAAAAGAAAGTCTTTCTGTTGAGGAAGAATGCAAAAGGCAGGTTTCCCACAAAAAGGTAAGTTCAAGGAGCACTGTCTACTTGACATCCAGTCATTTTTCACTTATGAGTGAAAAGGCTTTCAGAATTTTCTCTCCTCCTGAAGACCCTAATTTTGATGCCTAAAAGTGGTATTTTCTTTTCGTGTAAATGCTTCTCTCTTTCCTGTGGTAAACAGAATAAACTGACAGACTGCTCTACTGGCACTAAAATATATGAAGTCAACAAACTGCAAAAGGAGGGAAATTGTCTTTCTTCCATTCTCCATCTGCTGCAGGCAGCTGAAGAGTTACTTATAGCAACCGTAGATTAGGAAAAAAATGCACATTGCTATAGAAATTGCCAACAGTAGACTCACTTGGAGAGCTTGGCTTTATTTGTAGACGTTTCCAAACATTATTTGTTCTTTTTCAGGGCCTGTTTCAAAATCCGTCGAAGCCAGAGACAAGACTTCCATTAATTTCAATGGCTTTGGAGCAGATTCCCAGAGGACAGCCTGTGGCACCCCCAGCTCTGGCATTTTTAGCAGTATGTCCATGTAGTCACACTTCCAGTTGCAGAGAGAGAGCTGGATGATGCTAGAGAACACATTCCTCACAAAAGTGAGCCAAAGGCACCCACTGGGAATGCTCAGGCTGTGTCACTAAGCCTGATACGTTTAAGTCAAGTCTCCTCCATCACACCTGTGCTTGCAGGAACGGGCTGTGTTTCTCATATCTCGAAGGCCAAAGTGGGTGTGGGGGCTGGCTGCCAGCTTCTGCAAAGCCTGGCAAGCCAGCAGGGCCCCAGAAGAAGCAAAGACTCTGAAGAAAATGTCATGCAAATATACAGTGGCCAACTGACTGAAGAGCAGGTGCCCCCAGCTCTGCCTGCTGCAGCAGCTTGGATGTAAAACAGTGGGGTTGGGGGTTCCCAAACTGATGCCTGTGAAGTTTTGTATGTGGCCCAAAAGGGATTCCTAAATTGTAGACATTCCCAACAGAACCAGGTGATAATCATAGTTACATGGTCTCTTCCAGGAAGGGGATGGGTGTCTGGCCCAGATCCGTCAGATAATTTAATTATGGGTTGGCCTTCTCCTGAGCAGAGAAACCCAGTCAGAATATTCACATCTCAGCTCCTCCATAAGCTCTCCCTATTAATCAGTCAGAAATTCATGTGGGATCTGCTCCAATGGTTCCACAGCTGAAGTCTTGATTTGCAGGTGTGGTGAGAAAGAAAACATCCAGCACAGTGTCTATGGAGGCATCATAGTGCATTTTCTTCTCCTTTCCTCTCATCCCCCACAATTGTTCTACCCATTAAACACTTTCCCATGAACTTTATCTTGAAAACCCTCTTCATAGTCCTGCTTTATCCAGCTGAGCAAGACAGCCACGAACTGGAGGTCCAGAAAGGTCTTGGGATTGAAGACCACTCTTAAATGTTTGACTGGATGCAGTGCACATACTTGACTTTGGCAGGAAGCTTTAAAGCTGGGGCTGCACTGGCACAGTGCAGGTGTGGGCACTGCCCTCAGCTCCCCGGTGCAACAATGCAGGAGGCATTTCTGCAATGCAGGAATCCATCCAACATCTCAGATTCCTGCACCTCTGGGATGCAGGAACTGGCTCACTGATCCATGGCTAAATATAAGTGCATGTTCTTTCAGTTTTGGGTTATGGTGCCATAAATTAGTAATAATGGCATCAAATCCAATGGAGTTCATGCCAAGGGCAGGAGGATCACAATAGCTACAGATCCTTCTTTGTGCTGTGTTTCTACTGAGGCTTTGTGAACCTGATGGGTATCTTTCTTAAGGAAGCTGAGGTGCTCTTAGGGATTTCCTTCAGGCTTGCTTCCTGAAGTCCATCAGCAGCCTTTGGAATATGCACATAGGGCTCCCAAGTAGTTCTGATGATTAAGGCAATATTTTCATCTTTTCTAAATCATTATTTTAACTTCAGGTCTTCTCCTCCACCTCCCAGCAGGTATAAATACTGTAGCTCTATGAAGCTGAGCAACTTAGCTTTTAAGGGATGACAGGAGCATTTCACTTGGGGTGTGGAATTCTAAGACACAACAGTTCAAAATGAAACTTTCTTGGAACAGCTGAGATTAACCTGCATATGTGTAAACAGGTGGGCAGGATGAATACGATTCAATAATGATAGACATTGCATTAGCATCCAAAAGAAGCACCTCAAACAACAATTGTTAAAAATAAAGCAATGCAAAACCATTAAATAGTTTTAAAATTTTTAAATTGTATCTAGAGGAGCAGTATGTGTTTTCTCATCTCATAACTCCTTGCTTTGCTCACTTTCCTCATTCTCCTCTCATTCCTATTATTGTATCTCTTTGTTGTTGTTAGAAAGACCTCCAGCTTTAACGTTTGCACAATGATGCCTTTGATGGAGGAGCTTTATCTCACTTTCCCATGTGTCCAACAGCAGCATACATCAACTTTATCTTGTCTGCTCGTGAGGAAAGCAATGCTTTAATGTGTTCCCTTCAAACTGATCCCGCCTGGGATGTGACATTTGCACAATGGGTCTCACAAGGCCCTTGCAGTGGCTCAGCACCAGCACCTGTTGTGTGTCTCCTCAGACACAATCACCATTATATATTGCAAGCAACCTGTTCCACGCTCAGTTGCTGCTGCTGTGGGAAGCAGCAAAGAGGAGAAATGCTGGTGACGTGACGGGGATGACATCTCAAGCTTTTGAAGAAGGCAGCAAAAGGAGTGGTGGTGTGGTAAGCAGGACGAGGGCCACACAGGGCACTGAGCTGGGAATGTGGCTGGGGATTGCAGTTCTGGTTTCTCTTGCTGGATGCTTGGCTGGGGAGGAAGCAACTGATGATGAAGGAACCCCCTGCTCAAAGTACCAGCAAGCTTTCAACCGTTCCTGCTACGAGTTTGTGAGACTCCAGCAAACCTTTACAAGTGCCCAGAGCTGGTGTGAGAGAGGAGGAGGGCACCTTGTCTTTATTCAAAATGAGGAAACTCAAGAGTTTTTGCAAAAACATATTGCTGAGGATCAGGAGTGGTGGATAGGACTGATCTCAAACTCCTTGCAGAATGAAACTACTGACGGTAGGTGGTTTTAGAATCTCATCTTTAAATCTGTACCAGCCCGTGATGCTTTCTTAACATGGTAGAAAATGCAATCAGTCCCTCTGTAGATATCTGCTGAGAAGCCTCTGTCTTTTGTTGCTGTATCTTCAGATCTATAGTAAGATGTTTTTAATTGCCTGCTTCACTTCCCAATTGCATATTATCTCCCTTTCCACTGGGTCTTGTGGTTGTGTGAACACATGATTTATTAGATCAGCTGCTGACCCAGTGAAACAAATATGCTGGGTTAGGTCTCCAGTGGAAGAGCAGGCTGAGCCAATTCATCCCACGAGGAAGTGCTGCAAGGTCTGATGCAAGCAAAAGGGTGGAATCTTGAGGCTGGGATCACAGGACAAAGGGGCAGTGTCTCTTTTAATGATTGTATCAGGTTCAATATAAAATGTAATTGAAGATCCTTACCCAGACTAAACCACCTCTGCTTCAGTAGGAGCAGGGCTACAATCCTGCTCTGCAGGCTCTGACTCTTAATTGAATTACTGTAGAAAATAAACATTCAGGACACAATTTCTTTGTTCACAGGGTCGATGATTTGGCTGGACACTTCAAATATAAGCTACACTAACTGGTACAAGGATCAACCATCTTCCATCTCATCCACATGTGGGTACATCCTGAAGAATGCCAAGTATCAGTGGGGTGTGACTGAAAATTGCAGCCAGGAATTTGACTTCATTTGTGAGTTTGGTAAGATACACAAGAGCTGGAGCAGCAAAGTGAGTGTGCCGTGATCACAACTGGGCATAAATTGCCTTGTTGCTTTCAAAGTAGCTGGGCAATAACTTCATCAATCTTATTAAATGGAAACAAGCAAAATATAACCCCAGCAGTTGCTCTTTTTCCAGTGTGCTGTTGTAAGACCTGATCTGAAGAAGGAAGAACCCAGAAATCATTAGGAGATACAGGTGTTCAGCAACCCACTGTTGAGGTCCAGGGTGCCAGCAGAGGGCTAGTGAAGCAGAGATGGGTCTGAGAGTGAATCTCATGTGTAGCTGTCCATGACCACAGTGGACATCAGCTGGCTACTTTAAAGCATGGTTGCAAGAATAAACTCCCACATCCCCATAGCACCTGAGCGAGGTGGGACCTATATGACTGCCCTGTGAAGACATTCTTGATCATAAACACATGCCAAAATAATTTCCATTTGTAACTGAAGCAAAAATACAGCCAGGCTTTCAGAGAAACCACTCCTGGCAGCCTGGAGTGAGCAAAAGCGAGAGCGAGTTTTTCCTGTTTCTTCCTAGACCCCTCCATCAGGTAAAGTTCAAGGGCATCCCCGGGTTAAGGAACCAGACAGGAACCTGTGCTTCCTGATGGCATTTTAGTGCTCAGGCAGAAAATCTACAGACATTGTGTCCCTTAGATTGTGACTTGGAACAAACAGTCCTGGAAAGGAATGCCTGCAATATCATCCCATTCAACATATAGATATGAGGGGAATTTGTGTTCCTCGCACTTTGCACATCAGTGCTTTAAACTGTAACTAGAACTGAGGTCATAAGCACTGGAAGGATAGTCTGGCTGTGGGCTCACTAACATAAAAAGACTTTGAATCAAGTATGCAAGTACAGGTTTCCACAAGCCCTAGAAGTGCTGCTGCCCTGGTCCAGCACTCTTCTACTTCTGATATTAATACCAAGCTGTTCTGCAATAAGCAAAGCTAATAATGTTTTATTTCCTCTCCTGATTTTCTGTTCCACATCCCCTCCCTACCCTCCTCCTCAACACTCCCAGTTCACTCCCAAATCCCCAGCACGTCCCACCTCTGCAAATATTTTTCATTCCCTCAGCTCCCTCCCCTGCAGCTCTGCAGCTGCTCCAGAGCTCCAGCTGTATGGGTTGGCCAGTGGAATCCCACATCTTGGAGCAGATAAACAGGATTATAATCCCTAGTCCTAATTAGAGGCAGTGATGTAGCTCTTTCTCTTCTCCCTAGCAATTGCTTTTCATGAAATTTTAGGGTGTTTTGAGGTTTATATCAAATTTGGCTGAAGATGACTAACATTAAAAATGATTGGGGGAGAGGAAATTGGCAGACAGCACAATCCCTTAAGCTTATTTTCCTTGCAAAAACAGACTAAAATTATTTTTCCATTACAGCCACAGTAGACAACTGTCTGCTTGCAAGGAAACTATCATTTGTTACCATAGGATCTGACTTAGAGCCCATTAAATTCAAAGAGAGTTTGCATTATTGGGCAACAATATCCTACACTACATCCATCATTCCACTACACAGGAAACCAGATTGTTGAGACAATTATAGCCTTGTTTTCAGTATCTACAGCCCACGTGCATTCACACATGAGTAAAAGAGTCCTCTTTTACCAGCTTTGCATGCAAGGAATTAGATCCAATATCCCAAAGAAATGGGAAATATTTTCATTAGCTTCTCTGGGTGATAAATGTTTGGAAATTCCCACAACTTGACAGTGCCACGGTTTTTCTGTAAAATGGATGTAGTGGTACTTCACAGCTTCATACATGGCTACTGTGAGCTTGGTGCTCACCAACACTGAAATGAATAGTGGCTCCATATAGTACCAATATTTGTATTTAATCTCTCTGATGCCTGGTAACTTGTCTACTTGATCATCTGAGCTAGGAATATGTGCACAATCAACTGACCAGACAATGTTCTGTCTTCATCCTTCCTTTGCCCATCTACCCGAGCATTATTTGTGTTTCTTATTATTTAGTTCTACTATTTGGTGCTCTGTGGGTTAGCAATTTATTGTAGTAAATATGTGTGTATTGAACCAGGGTCTGTACATAGGAATGCAAATCAGGTTTTGAGCACCTTTCCATGTAAAAGTTGCTGAGACAGCAAAGACTGCAGGAAATCTTTATATAAAGTAAAGAACCAAAAAAATGCACGAGATAATAGTCTGGACTAGAATTCAACAGCAAGTTATTTTTCAAGCTTATTTAGAGAGCTCTAATCTGTAAACTGATCATGTTGCTATAGTTACAGCCAGGCTTAGCCTTAGCCTTTAAATAACAATAGCACACAATTATTGCAGTGTGCACACACTGGCACAGTTCATAGAGGGACCTGAGGGGAATGATCCAAACAGCAACTGGAGGACAACGTCTTTAAACCTGGGACAGCTGAAACAAAAACATTCTTTTGCAACACTCCCATATGGGAGCAGTCTTTCACATCCTCCTCTTCAGGGTATTAAGTATCCTGATTACTACAGGATACTAAGAATTCTGACAGATAATTAACTGTCCTAGATTAATCAAAGAATGAGGTGTATGCATTGAGAGCTATGACCTTACTCTTCCGAGCAGTCCTGCTGAATGAAGTCAGGACTGAATATCACACAGGAACAAAGGTGTCTCTGTAGCAGAAATGAGATCAGGTCCCACACTTAATATGCAAACTCTTCTCCTCAGCAATTACCTGAAGATTATGCAAATCACACACCGCCACGAGGCTCTTTTGGAAGTAAAGAGTAACTTTAAACCTTCCAGTATTGCAAGTCAAACAAATGCTAAGACTTTTCCCCAAAAAAAAGGTTGACTTTTTAGATTAAAATAGTTTTGTTTTCTGAAAATGTCCTCAATGTTTTGTTTCAGGCAGTAAAAACATAAATCTATTAATTTTGATTTTTTAAAAATAAAATTATTTATTATTTGAGTGGGGGTTTTTTTCATTTTCTTAATTTTTTAGCTTAGAAGGGAGGAAAGGAAAGAAAGAGAAACAAAAAAAGGGGACATGCAGTAGAACTGTCGCAGGATTTTTCAGAAATGCAAAAAGTTAGATTTTTTTTTTTTTTTGCTACTAGAATCTGGCCAGAGCATTGCATGTGATAATTACAATGCCACCGTGCAGTGTGGATCTGGAGAAGTTATTCAAATTGGAGAGAGCTTCTATGGACGGAAGACCCCTCATTACTGTGTGTCTGAGACTCCTCTCCAGGAGGATACAGATGAAGGCTGCAGCTGGATCAGTGTCAAAGATGAAGTAGCAGGTAATTTATGGCATTGCTTGTCAGAAACAGAGAGTATGTGCCAAAGTTCCTGGTCCCTGAAGTACTTTATCTTGTATTTCAGTGGAGTTTGTTAATGGGAAAGTGGATTATTCCTAAAATGAAGGGGATTACAGAGAACTTCTGACAGGGAGGAGGTTCCTACAGGAGGCTGGATAGAAAGGAGGGACTTTGGAGGAAGAAGAGTCTGAGAAGGGGAGGAGGAGCAAAAGGAGGGACTTTGTGAGGAGCAAAGATTCAGAGAAGGAGAGGAGGAGCAATTGGAGAACAAGGGTGTACCTGGCTCCTCTCGCTGCGTGAAGAAAGTATGTGGGCACATTACTCCCTGACAAACTCAATGGGAGATGCCAGGTTTGGCAGAGATGGGAGAGGACACATCCAGACAAACCCAACTCCAACCCAGCAGGGTTGACACCCACAGGAACACGAGGGCAGGAGGGACCTGCTGCTCCCTTCTGTGTGTGGAGCACTCAGCCCCCTGGGGCCAAGGGCTCTGCTGCTTCCCAGACTAAACAGTGACTGTGACCCATCCCTGTGGGGATTCTTTGGGCTTTTCTACCCGCTCTGACTCAGCTTTATTCCAAAAAAATGAAATGGTGCTAAGAAATACCAGGCATTAAGCAACACACTACAGCCAAAGTGATGTGGAAGTTTGTCTGGAAATCAGTGACATGGTATTGCTTCTCCTCTGCTTTTTGTTCCTCTGTTGTGACAGTCAAAGACAAAACCCACCATTTGATATAAAGCTCTCCTTCTTTCCAGGCCAGTGTCACGGTCTCCAGGCCTGCCAGGTGACAGCAGATGGCACTTTCTTTGGAGATCCTTGTCCAGCTTGGGGAAGCTATTTGTCTATTCAATACCACTGCAAGGAAGGTAAGAGGGAGGGGGCTGGCAACACCAAACCCCTGCCCTGCTTTTTGCTCTTTGCTCTGTGACCATTGATATTTATCTTAAAAATCACTGCTCCATCCTCAGGGAAGAAACTGCAATAGCAGTGACCACTAAAAATAAGCATGAAAACGTAGATTACCTGCCCTAACTGAAGGGTTTGGGTAGAATACAAAGCTTGGAAATCCAGACACATAAACCACACTGGAATAAAATTATGTCCAACAGGAATCTTGACCAGTAGGTATGGAAAAGAATCAGCTCCCTGTCACACCACCAACGCACACAAATCAACTCTGTTTTGGAGCAGGCTGGCTCTCAATGCATGAAAATGAATTGAATTATGTAAGAAATGCAGGCAAACACTGGCATGGAGTTCTGTCATTGTGTTTTACAGGTCTGCAGCTGGTTGTGACAGATTCATGTTTTGTCTTTGAAAATATCACGGTCAGTCTGAACTGGCTGCTCTCACCATACTCTGGCAACCTGTCCTGTACCATCAGCACTGGAGATGGTCACACTATCGATCCTTACTACCCTCCAACGTAAGATATATCCTTCCTGTATCATCAGACAAACACTACATTTCATTGCTTGCACTTTATTGAATGTTCCCAGTCTCATAAATGATATGTTAAAAATTATGTAGATTAATAATAGACCATAACTACAAGACACTTGGATCTGCAGAACCCTCTTTTGAAACTACTACAGAATTTTATGTCAAGCTGCCAACCACAATATTTCTTCTGTTTATTGTAACAAGTGTTTCCTAGTTCTAAGAGAATTTATTACAGATCCTAAGGCTCAAAATTACTGAAAACATGTCAGTAATTGCCAAGGAATATGCAAACATTATTTTCTTAACTTTAAAGAGTATTTTTTATAACATTTAAAATGTAACAAGGACATTCTGGACTTTTTATTTTTTTTTCATTTGCATAAAAATTCTATCTTTAGGAGATCAAACATTTTTCTGTTGGATTTAAAAATCAAATTTTGTCCAAGTGCTGGGAATGACAGAGAAGGGCTCTAGAAATTTATTTATCTACTGATGGAATCCTACTTGAGTGAACTAGGAAAACAAAGAGTACAAGAATGAAAACCAAAAAGAATTAATGTACTAGAAATAGTAAACTTCCTTTCAGAGCTACAGACACAGGCCTGTAGCTGTAAAGAACTTGAGAAAAAAATCTTTAATAGTGAGCCTTAATGTAAAATATATTTGCCAGCTGTAAGCAGAGGCTTGCTGGTTTTATGGGAAGCACTTAATTTACTAAATAGCTCACAGATATGCTCACCTGTGTTCTGTGTCCAGTCTGATACCCACTCTTACAGGAATTGCCTTTTCTGGTCTGATCTTGTCTTTGGCATGTTCTGGAAGTCCAGCTAGAGTGAAAACTGTTTCTTCATTCAAACACCTAATGAAAAATATACATTATCAGGGGTGATATGTCCTGGTCTTTGCCTTTGCTGGGTGATACCATGGTAAGAATCTAAGGAGTTCAGAGAGAAGAGTGTCAGGAATATTGCTGATTTGCCTTCCATGGTGTTTATAATTCAGGAAGGATATCCTGAGGCTCTTTGCACCATCTCCCTTTGTGTGTTAGTGATAACAGCAACCCCCACAGCCATTCATCTCCCACTGTTATCCTGACTGGAGCTGCACCAGACCCAGGAGTGAAGAGACATTTTTGCTGGCACGGGCGAGGACAGAAGCAGCTGCACCCAAAACCTGTCATCTCCCTACTTGACAGCAAAATGTCCCCACCCTTATAGATGTGCTTTGGGAATGACCACCCTGATATACAGCCCTAATAACACCATAGATGGAAGAAGGGGACAATCTTCAACCCCACAAATTCTATGCAAATAAACAAGGGATTACAGTGATTGCAGGATTGCTGAGCCAGGTCAGAAATTTGGGAATGTGACCATGTTACCACGTAGGGTGAAGGACTTCCCAGGACAGTCTTCCACAACAAGCAGCTGTTCTCTTTCTATTGCAGGCTGGTCAGCAACATCACACACAGATACTCCTCTCCTGGAGAGTTCACTGTTTTTGTGGAATGCACCACTAGCGAATGGCACGTGATGGCACAGAGGCAGGTGACTGTCCAAGATAAGATGGATCAACTGAGCATTACTGGGTGCTACAGCCAGTATGGAACTGGGAACAGCTCTCACTGCCGTGCACTGTATGGGGAGGTGTTGTGGATTCAGGTGGAACTCAATGGAGGTGAGGGTAATTTCTCTGCATAATTTCAAGGGCAGGATAAATATTATGCCACCCACGGGACAGAAGCAAGATTTTCATTATGCAAAGCAATCCTTCTTTTTAGAGAAGGCTTTCCCTCTCATTCCTGCTGCTGAATGCTCTCAGGTGCATTGGAGGGCTTCTTTCTCAGAGGTATTTCACCACGTAAAACATAAGTACAAATGATTTTTTCCTATTCACAAAACTGATAGAGCATGAGCTCTGTCAGAGCATGAACTCTAACTTTAGTCACATAAATCCACAGGATACCAGTCAGAATGTTTCTGTATTTGAAGTTAGAAATTCACAGCAATGCTTCTCTGATTGAGGGTAAGAGGATTCCACACTGAGCTGGGCACATTTGCTGGTGTACATTTCTCACTTCAAGTTTCTGGAAGCCATATTTATGCGGAAAAAATAAAATTCAGTAGTGTATGAATTCTCTTGGCTGCCCAAATAGTACCAGCAGGAAACCCATGATAGACTTCCATAAAATCACCTAAAGTGACTTTATTAAAAAAGACTGCATTGCTGCAGTTCTTGTGACTCCTGCATAAATACTGGAGTGCTGCACAAAGCAGCTGGAATTGGTTGGCCTATTACACAAGCTGTGAGAAATGTCGGTGTGTGTTTTTGCAGGCAATGGAGTGACCTACATTATGTCAGCAGATAACATAACCCTGGCTGAATCCAGTGCAAAGGAAGGAATTGCCCCTCATAACCTGACACTGGACAGTGCCTCTCAAGAGCTGCTAGGCCCAGGGATACATCAGCTGGAAATCCGAGCATCCAGCAACACGACAGCGTCAGAGATCTCCCAGACTTTTGCTGTTCACTTAGTTGAGCCAATCTCTGGGCTTCAGGCTGCACTGGCTTCCCACACTCTGCAGCTGGGGGAGAATTTGGAGGTGAATGTCTCTGTGTCTCATGGTGCCCCAGATGAGGTGACATTTGAGGTGATGGGATCCAACGGAACTCACTCTCACACGGAAGATGGTCCTCGTGGGGAACCTCAGACATACGTGGTTCCTGTGCCCTCAGAAGGTACAGCACTGACACCTCCTGTGCTTCCCAAACACTCACAGCTGAGTTCACAGAAAGACTCACAGCATCCTGGGCTGGGGGACAAACATGTACAGCTGAATTTGGTGGCTTTTCTGACTGCTAAACTTGGTGTGCAGAGCAGTGTGAGCAGCACGGTTGTAGTGACTTGTAAGGGAGCTAAAAACTTTGACCTGACAAATGGGCCTCCCCCTGAGACTGAAAGCAAGGCTTCACCTGAGCCTTGCAATGGAAAAAACACAGTAAAAAGACATAGGGTTTATTTTTTTATGACACAATCTGATTCAAGTACAAATGAGGACATTTTCCTGAATCACAAAGTGTTTTCCTCCTGTTTGTTCATATGTATGACATTTCAAGTTTAGACTCCTCTGCATTTTACACTGAAGTAATTAACCATCTGAGGAGTTCTCAGTAGAGATGATAAACAAAAGGGGAGCTTTTCTGTGTGCCCATTTCTAACACGTAGTTTTTGTTGGACTCAATTATGAATAAGCTTTTAAGTAATATTTTCTTTCCATTACTAAGCAATCAAGGCCTTTAGAATGTGAAATTAAGGAGTTTGTACTAAGGAGTTAATTCAGTGGCAGAAGATAAAAAAATTCCATCCTCCAGTGAACTATTCCAATCCTATGCCAAGGCTGGAACAGTAGAAGCTAATTATAATTTCATTTGATGTTTTAAAATTATTCAATATTAAAAGTTTTATTAGGTCTTCCTGTACCCATCTGAACATCTCATTCTTTGAGGCAGAAATTTTCAAATGAGGCAGCTGCTCTCTCAAGATGCCTGAACTCCTTTGGACTTCAATATTTTTACACCTCTAGTTTACTGTGTGATAATACAAACAGCTGGCAAAGAACAGCATGGCAAGGGCTAGGACAGAGGCAGATGGCTTATCAGAAGTTGAGATAAAGAGGAATATTCCTTGAAAAACCTTCCAGTAGAGGACACCTATTAGAAAAACCCCTGAAAACTCTTAACAGAAAAGAATAGGATTTTCTATACAAATGGGATGTTATTCCCCAAACCTGATAGACTGGTCCCACTGCTACTCTTAACTGGCCATTTGTCTTCTCTAGGTATTTTCCTAGTGAAAGTGGTGGCCAAGAATGCCTTCTCAAACATGACTCTGGATCTTGGATTCATCACTGTGTTGGCAAACACTTCCCATAAAAAAGGTAATGGCATTAATCTGACAGTGCTGGTTTTGACCACACTTTTTGCAATCAGAGCCCTTAATGGAATATTTATGGTTTGCATCTAGTAATTGCTTTCCTTCCAGCAACAGTGCTGAAAACTTTTGTGGAGGCTTCTTCCTGATGAAGGCAGATTCCCTGACTTTGAAGTAGTCATAAATTAGCATCACCCTTTATATGCTACACATTGCTCATTTGCTGTTTGTCCTAGAAATAATTAGGGGAGTTTATGGCTCAGGACACAGCTTTGAAACCAGAAAATATTTGCATCACAGCAGTCTCATAATTGCTGTCAGTAAATGCTTCTGGATGGCTCATCCTTACACTTAACAAAATCAGATTATACCAGGAATAAAGTAACCCTAGTTCTAATTGTATTGAAATTTCCCAGTGCTTCCCCCCAATTTTTCTTTGTACATCAATGAAACTCCATCACCTTCTGTGAATATATTTTGATTTACACCATTATGTTTGAAGAATCGGGATCATCTTCTTTACAGTCTGTGATGAGCTTGTTGTTACAATTTTACCTATTTAACTTGACTGCTCTAGAGTCTGATTCTTACAGCCCTGTCTTTCACACTGTCAGTAGTCAAACCCTGTGGATTTAAGTCATATTCACTGAGGATGTCTGAAAGCTTTACAGGTAGCACTAAAATATTCTGCTCTTTTTGGCATTAAACAGATTCTGCTAAGGAAGAAGGCAGCTACAAAACAAATATCCAAAAGGGAAATGTAAGTATTATTGAAGGATCTTTCTTTAAAATTGAAATACATATAAATTTTTCTTACCATTGAAAGTGCTGCATAAGGCATTGGAGAGAAGTATTCATGCCTTAGTAGATTAGGGACTAGGTGTTCTGTGCCCCAAATGGTTTAACACAAAACCTACACCAAAAGTCTTGGAGGCAAATGTGTTTGCAGGCATTCAATCTACAATTCATAAAAAAATATTAGAGAAAATGAACTTTTCCCAGCAATTCAGTTTTGGAAGCTGAAATTTGTTTAGATTAATTTTTAATTAATCTACTTGGATATTGCAAACCTCTCCCTGAAGGGTGATCCCTCAAGCAGAATTTAATATATTTTTATATTGTTTCCAAGTGTTTTCCACTTCTATATTGGAATATATAAATTACTTTGCAATGAAAAAAAATCCAGTTTATGGCAAACTAAGAAGTTAAGGATACATCAATCGCTAGCAGCTGTCCAAATTGAAAGAATAAAAATGCCAGATAGAATATTTTATCATCTTAGAGGTCTAGTTTGTAACTCTGGCAGACAGACATCTGCTACAGGAGATATGATGCTTCACAAGAAGGCACCATGCTTTACAGATTGCCTGTAGGAATATATTGCATCAGAGGAATATAAATCTAATTCTAAACCAAGTTTATTACAGTTTGTTGCCCAGAAAGACAAACTCAGCTACCTCCCTCTTCTCTTTATCTGTAGCTGTAATGTATCCAGTTCAGATAAAAGAGAGATGTACTAGAAGGTGCACCAGAAAACAAGTGGTTGTCCAAGGGTTAGAAGTCTTGCTCCAGATGTCAAGAATTAATAGGAATTAGTTTCCTGGGACCTGCCCTCCCAAGCCATTTCTGCATTCAGGAGAATTTTGCCACACGATTTGTCTGTGCCATCTGTTTCTGTTCCCACAGCTTCTACTTCCACACTACCTCTGATCAGGGAAAGACCATTTAAACTACAGATCTGCATCCAGTCATTTGGGGTCTAAACTTTCAGTTCTTCTTCATTATAAAGAAGCAAGGTTTGTGTGTGTTTACACACGCTCCTGTCCTAACTGATACATTTATTATTATTTAGGATCACAAAAGAGAACCCAAAATCTACATTAAACCAAGTCGCCACGTGGATCCTTTCACAACTGTTACACTTGGCTGGCCAGACAACAACAGTAATTCCAGTTTTCTCTGGTCCTGTGGTATGTGACTTTCCTGAACTTTTTTCACCAACTTCTATTTGATGAGTAACAAACTCACTGTCGTGAAAATCTGACTGAGGGATAGTTTGTTTTCTGGCTTTAAAGTTTGCCACTCACTGTACATGAAGAATGTCCTTGTACCTTACCCTGGTGTTAACACCAAACTGGTCATGGTATCTAATATGGCATGATACTCAGCTTTGCCTTCTCCCAAAGGTTTCAATTTTTCAAGGTCTGCCTTCTCTAAGCTTTCACCCTCATAGTCAAGGATTAGACCCAAGTGATTTACATGGTTAGGCATTTGCAAGGTACATGTGTCTCAATAAAACAGCAATAATTAGTATTAAACATGATGCAAAAACATTTCTGGCTGAAAATTGGATTCAGGACATCTGTGTTCTGTCCCCATAATTATCCTTGACCTCATACATTACTTTGAAGAAGTCAGCCTATACTCTGAACCCAGATTACCAACTCTTTAAATTGGGTTCAGGAAACTTTTTTTGTTCTATCAAGCTCTTTAAAACCCATGGCAGGAAAGTCCTTTATAAGGGACTATTCTAATTATAAGGGAAATGTTTGTGCAGGAGCTTGCTGGCCTGCATGGAATGAATGTGTGCTGCAACAGATAATCCTAACTAACCAATCTGAGGTGCAAATCCCACCTTCCTGCCTTCCTCCTCCGAAATCGGCGGTGACTGTCAGGATTACAGTCCGAAACCACGGCAGTGAAGAGAGGCAGGACGAGCAGTGTCTCTATGTGACTGCAAAACAAGAACTGCAACTGCAAATCAGGTCTGTTTTTAAACCCCAGTATTCACTGGTGAATGTGATTACTGCACAAATACAGTGCAAGGCCACAGTTACCAATAATAGTGATGATAAAGTGATAATGTACTTTTAGAGTCATAGAATCACAGAATGGTTTGAGTTGGAAGGGATTTTAAAGATCATCTTGTTCCACCTCTCTGGCATGGGCAGGGACACCTTCCACTAGACCAGGTTGCTCCAAGCTCCATCCAACCTGGCCTTGAACACATCCATGGATGGGACAGCCACAGCTTCTCTGGGCAACCTGTGCCAGGGCCTCACTGCCCTTATGGTAAAGAAAACTTATTGTTGTAAATCCATTTACAGCTGTAAAAATACTGTCTTGCTGAGTTTTCCAGTCCACATTTCTGAACATAATCCTTTTATTAAGTGAGTAATATTCTTCCCAAAACACTTTGACCCCCCAACATCCTTTCAGTGTTGGAGATTTCCATATGCAAACCTCATTGAAACTATGGGCATAAATGCCATATGTCTGACATTTCTACTAGACATCTCATACAGTTCCTACATGTAACTCCCCTCTTACTTCCTTGCAGGTGTGAGGCAAACTGCAAACCAGTGAATATTAGCAATGAAGTTGTTTTGAGTGTCTCTGGACAGAAGGACTCCCAGGCCATACATTATAACTGGTATTTGGATAACACATCCCAAATCAAGGTGAGAGCACCAGATTGGTCAGAAATACTGCACACACAAAGATAAATGTCCACCCCGAGGGAAAGCCACAGAGGGAAACTTTGTCAAGTGGACGCTTTGAAAATATGAGTGAAGATTGAGAAAGAGTGTGCCTGGTTTGGGAAGGGTTATAATGAAGGGCACCAAACTGCCACCCTGCTCCTGATAAATCACAACAGAAAGCACAGCAAAGAGCCTTTTTGCTGTCCAGAAAACTGCCATGTTTTCTTTTCTGTCTGATTTTCCAGTCTACAACCCTCCCTCTGGCCTGTGCCCTGACTGGTTTCCGGCAGAACTCTTTGAATTTGCTTCAAAGCAACACATCCGTGTTGAGAATGAACAGCTCCTTCTTGCAGACACAGGGAGAAGCTTTTCAGATTAAAGTAACAGGTAGGGACAAGCAGGGTTTTAGGGCTTTTCAGACTCCTTTGAGATAATCTCTGCCGTCATGACATCACACTGACGTTACACACACATAGTCTCGCTGACAAACATGAAGGGAAATTAGTCCACAGGTTGAAAGCTGTTACTTTATATATATGGGTTCTTTAAAATAATGCAGAGATGAGTTTTTTCTGGGCTGTTGCACAGCAGGACAGAATCAGTTATCTTACTCCAAACTGTCAATAACTTTCTTAAGGTTCATCCAAAATGAAGCTGTATTAACACTTGATCAAATAACACAGCTTTGCTTTATAATGCAAGCATTACCATATTTTTAATAGTTCTTTTCCTCTTATGGTTTGTTCAGTAGCAGGATTTCATTCCTAATTAGGCCCAGCCTGATGTTTGTGGTGCCTGGAGGAGCAGCACCGTTGCTCAGTAGGCACAGTGAGTGCCCGGTGCTGCTGGGGCACGATCATTGCTGACGTTCTGCTCCCTCCGCTCCCAGCAGTGACTCAGCGCCGCTACGGAGAGGGGATGTACCTTGTGAGCACCGTGCCCCCGCCCGGCATCCCCGGCTGTGCCGTGTCTCCCGAGCAGGGATCCGTGCTCACCACCTTCAGAATCTCCTGCAGCGCTCCCGGCGCGGTGGGTTCATCCCAACCCAGTCCCAACAGGCAGCTCACGTACTGCTTCTACCTGAAACCAAGTAAGTCCCCAGGGGAACTGTTTGGCTCCTGCACGGTTCCAGCAAGCTCTGCTGCTTCACCAGCAAAAGCAAAGGTGTAACCTGCCCTCTCCATGGGGAGACTGACCCCGAGTCAGCCAGGCCTGCCCAGAGCAAGGCCAGATTCCCCTGTTTGCAGAGAGCAGGAGGTGTCTGGCTGCTGTCTGGTAGGTCACCCCCTCTTTCCTCTTTCAGATTCTCTCCTGGACTGCAGCCCGGATCCTGAACTCTTCCCAGTCTATCTTCCACTTGGAGAAGAGGAAAATAATTTTATTGTACATGTGACAATCACTGTTAGCAACAGCTTTGGTGATACAGTTCAAACGAATGCTTCAGTGAAGGTACATGGTGGAATTACTTTTTTCAAGAACTCTCAAGATGATACCTAACCCATGATTCACTTTTGGAGCTTGTTCCTATTTTTGACATATCACTTCCTTCTGAATGTGCCATAATCATCATTTTCCTATCTAACAAAGACTATTCTCTGTGTGCTCAAGGTAGTCAAAAGTATCTTCCACTGTCCTTTTTCTAGGACAGAAGTTTAAAAGATGATCTCTTTGGACATTGGGCAGTATAAGATGTATTTGGTGAATCTGAAGTTACTCTGTAGGCCCCAAAAAACTCCTGCTTCTTCCCCAGTGCCCCAGGAAGAAAATCCTTATCAGGCCATTAAAAATAAAACATTTAAAACTGGGAACATGAGGTTTTATGTCCCACTGTGGCTAGGCTGTCATCAAGATGATCGTGGAAGCTGTTCCAAGGTAATTATCACAGTGTTGGCAATGTTGAGAGCATATCTGATTTCTTCATCAGGTTGGACCTGCAGATGGGATGGATGGGAACCTGACCCTGCAGGGCATGGTGTCTGAGAAGGCAAACACCATCCTAAAAGATGGGAACAACAGCATGAGCCTTTTCCAGCTGTACAAATCAGTGACATCTGTCCTTAACCAGCAGACCCAAGAGGAAAGCTTTAACATGTCTTTGCAGACAAATACACGAAAAGAGGTCAGCCAGACACTTGTTTTCTTCCAGTACAATGTCATATAATGGACTCTTCATATTCTTTGACAACTCTTAAGTAATAAAAAGCTCACATATCACCACCTGAAATCAATGGAGGTTTCAAGTTTCTAGCATCTGTCTCAGTGTTTGGCACAGCTTTCAGCTATTTTCACTATTTGCCTATATAAATAATTTGTCTTACCACCCACCAGTAAAACAATTAATTCTCAATTGTTATTGCATTAATTTAAAGTAGTTAACTTAAATCCAATTTTCCACAAGCAATTTCAATATCATTAAAATGGCCTCTCCTGTGGGATAAATACCCTATCCAATTTTCCCCAAAAGCACTAGATAGCAGGTAATTTTCTCTTGCCCATTTCAGCTACCAGTTGACATTTCAGTTGTAAGCTGATATTTGTACAGTGCTTTGAGTGCCTCAGATGAGAAGATCGAGAGAAATGTGATGTATCCTTCAATTATGATTCATTATTTGAATAACATCAATCACACATGGCTCTGCTTTCTCTGCAAGTGGCATTTACACAGTCATTCACATACATTAGTACAAATTCTCACAAGTAACTCTCCGTGCTCTTAATGGATGTGAAGCATATGAATTCTCTGTGCTGGGAGGTAACATAAAACTCATGATTATACAATTACTAAGGCAAGTGGCATCTTGTCACTAGGCCTAATATCAGTTCAAATGATCCTTGTTGTGGAGTCTTACTCTACTTCATAATTTACAGCAAGCCTGGCTGTCAATATATAGCACTACTTGCACAGTCCTAATTAGTATCTTGTTCCTTTGCCTAATTATCCCTTTTCATCCCAAGCTCCGAGGGCTGATGCTGACAACTCTCTCTGCTGTTAATGTAACATCAATGCAGGCTGCTCTTAAGATGTCAGAGGTGTTGAAAGAAATCACTTACAGGAGTGAAGAGCTGTCTGTCTCAGCACAGGTAAGACCCAATTCATCTTCCATCTCCTCACACTAACAGCAGAGACTCTGCTGCATCCCACTGACCTTGGAGGAGATTCAGTGCCTTACAGTTTTCTGTTCTTACCCATATTTTCAACTCTACCAGCATGTGTATTTTGACCAGGAGGGAATATATTTTGCTGTTTAGAGTAAGTAAATTCCACTCTCAGATGTTGTCTCAGCAACCTCTGCAATCCAGGCTATGACCATTATATTTATCATATATTTTTTAGATAGAAACCTTAACTTTTAGTCAGAAACATGTTAGGATGTATGCTTTATCTTGTAAAGCACTTTTAGAACATTAAAGAAAAACTGTCCAGGAGGGGTTTTTCTAGAATTTCCCGCATTCATTTGTCCCTGATCCAGGCACTGCCCAAAATGCACCCAGTCAGTGAGGCAGGAACAGGGCAGCACCCAGAGCAACTGGGCACAAATGTGCAGATGGGTCTCACAAAAGTATCTCTTGAATCTTATCTGGCAACATGACATTATTAGTTGATGATGCTATTTATGCTTAAGGTGTGAGCAATGGGAGGACAGAACAAACTGTCACTAGGGAAGTTTCCCAAACATGCAGGCAATAAAAAGAGCTATTCTGATTTCTGATCTATTGTAGGGTTGGAGCCAGGCAACGGCTTGGGAGCATTTCAGCAGTATGTGGTTGACTTTGGCAAGACAAGAGCATAGCTCAGGTTCAGCCCTCACCCTGCAGTGAGGCTGCTTGGAGTTTGCAGGCTGTGGGAATGGATGTGTCCAAGCTTGCAATGAACTTGCCTGGCTCCCTCACCATCCTGGGCTAAAAGCTGGCCACTGCTTTCACACTGACAAAGCAACCACTGGCTGCATTCAGGCACAAAATAAAAATTGTACAACTCATTCTGCTTTGGCACTTAGCACAAGGCCAAGGGTATCACTTGCTGGCAACTCAATAGGGTTTGTGGGAACTAAGATTGAAACACGGCTGTGCTTGGCAATATGGTGGTATTTTTTAGACAGACCACCCAAAAGTATAATTTACTACATTACTGTCCATCCTAGCAGTATCCTTCCCCAGTGTTTGACGGACAAGCTTCCTTCAGATTTTTTTTTTACAGATGAAATCTGTAGAAACAGGCTGCATTTCTCAGGTCTGTATTTCATTTTAGTATAGCATCTAGTACATCATCTTTATTAGCATCGGAGGTATTACCCCAGCACAAATAATTAGAGTAAAAACAGCCTTAGCCAGTAATAGTGCCATGAGATTGCTGCTGTTGCAATATTCAGTAAATGACAGAAGTGTCTTCCCTGTCAGTTGTGGTACCAGCACATCTAAACTGCTGCCTGTGTTTTTCATGCAGGTGGAAGCCAGCAACACTCTGAAAGATGTCAGTGCTTCCTTGCTTGCTGTAAACCCAGAGGACAGCAGAGATGATCAGAACTTAAAGGAAGCAGCCAACCATCTATTTAATGCAGTCAGCAATGTCCTGAAAGCTTCTGTAGAAATCAGAGCTGCAAACTCTTCGGTGCCAGAGGCAGAACAGGTAATTTTGGCTTGGCCCAGTTTGTACTGGACTGTGTGTGAACATGTTTGCTTTTGAGAGGAGCTCTGCTGCCTCTTGTGTTTTTAAATTGGCACTGGGAAGGGTTCATTGAGACACCATGAGGGACTTCAATATGAGAAAAAACATCTCCACAGTTAGACCTGTTACACTGAACGTTTGCTAACAAAGGGGATAGAAGCCTCTTAAGATTTGTTACATTTAAAGCTGGACAGGACAGGGCACTGGAGCATCAGTGTATGACCTCTAATGGATGACAAGCACGTGAAGATTTTTTTTCAGCTTTGGTTCTATCCCCTCTTTTGCCCCTTAACTCAAGGAAGCCACAGGTATTCAATATTCATGATTGCCACCACTGGAATCAACTCTGGGTCCTGCTTTCACTTTTCCAGAAAGCCCACTCTGATGCAACATGTTTATTTTGTCCTACCCTTTCCTATCTAGATGTGAATTGATCTGAGTGCTTCCTGGGCTGAACATACTGTAATTTCATCACTGCAAGGGAATAGGGCATGAAATAAATCTAACCTGAGAGAAAAGGTTATAAACTGGTCAAGCTCCCCCAAGATAACACACTACTAACACACAATTGATACGTAATTAGGTCTTGCTTTTCCAAGTACCTAAACACTAAAGTGTGCGGCTAAAGAGCATTAATGCACAGAAGTGCACAAATATATTGATTTATGTCATGTTTGTAGTGCTTCAAACATCAATGTGTAGAAGTTATAAATAATAAAATATAAAAGTAAAATCTGTAAGACATTTATTTGCTGTCTGCAGTGTTTCAACTGAGAAACTGAATTGCTGATAGAATAACTTTTTCTGAGATTAAGAAGCACATCACCAAGTTTGTCAGCTTTGGAAGACCCTGAAATTTAAAGGAAGCAAAGACAAATGATGTGCAGCTTGATGATTCCAACTACCTTTGCTGCAATTTTCCTCCTCTAATCCTTTCCCAGATTTCGGTGTCACACCAGCTCCTGAGTACAGTGGAAAATCTCCAGAGTGCCCTCCTGTTTGGGAAAGCCCCAGATGATGAACCCACAGTGCTCACCACTCCTTCTGCCACAATGTACATGCACAGGTAACAGCTGCAGTGTCTTCCCCCAAGGCTCCTGAGAGTTAATCAAATTTGCTCCAAGTATTAATTCCACTGTGCTTAAATGGAAGCACCCAACTAAATATTGTAGCATAATGCCAACTTCAACAGTGCAATGAGGCTTCATTACTGCCTGATAGTGAGAACAGCTTGGGTTCCAGTAACATCACCTTAGAATTTCTCATGCTGTGTCTTCTTTAACCAGCAGAGATTTTACTACTATTTCCTGGGAGAGGCAGTAGTCACCTACCTTTGAAATGATGTAGAAAACTCATGTCATGCCAGTTAAGGGTTTCTTTTCTTTTCTGACATGTTATATAGAACTTTAACCAGCTTGGCAGAAGCAAATGTAATTCTGAGGAGCCTGACAAGCATTCTCCATTTCCAATAATCATCTCTAAATTGTTCCCCAAGAGCTTGGTTTTCATCCACCTCACACTGTGCATTCAAACCAAGAGCATGTTCACACAGAAACCACGTATGTCTCTCACAGAAGCACACCTTGGGCACAAATTCCTCTCCAGATATGCCAATTCCACCCCTTTTTTGATGATTCCATGGTAGTGTTATGTGCAGTACTACGTCAGGGACAGATCATTTTACAAAGTATTTACTGGCAGAGTTGGAAATAGTTTTGCAACTAAGATATACTTGTGAAAAGAGAAAGCTTTTTCTCTAGTTATGAAGTCCATGTTATTAATGTTTGGTCTTTTTTTGATTTTTTTCCCTTTATTTTCTATTTCTTTTCTTATTTCTGTTTAATCTGCTTTGTTGTGTCCAACCCTAACTGGACAGATTACAAACAGAAAACATGGATGGCACATCCATTAACATCTCCAATTCCAGCTCTGCCAGCTTTACTCTCCCACCTGCTTCCTCTCTGAGTGTTTCAGGACTTGATGATGAAACAGTGGATATAAGGGCAAGTAAACAGCTTTTATCTGACTCAGTCTGATATTCAACTTACACTCCCAACATAATGGTTTTAGAATATTTTCTCCTTTTAAAATGAGCACACAAGTCATCCCTCCTGTCATGACAATAATTTGAAATATTTTTGGTCAAAGAAATCTTCATTTATCTTAATTGCATGAGGTTGTTTCAGCAAGCTAAGGAGGACTGAAAGCTGAACTTCCCCATCCCATCATCCCCTCACATACACTTACATGGCCAGAGAAGGCAATGGAATGAATCAATACCTATACATCTATTTGCTGTTTGTTTACATCTTATGCTCTGAGGAGGATGGAACGGCTGAGGCCATGTCACATTCAAACTAAAGTGCAGCAGCCCTCCTTCATCCCAGCTAGAAACACACGAGGCACTCAGATCCTGCAGGAGACAAATGTCCTGTAATAACACATCCCCTATTCTGAATTAGGACATGGTGGTTTTTTCCCCTCAGAACAATAGATAGCATGTAATTGTCATATTTTTATAATAAATTTTCTAAAGGCCTCTCTGCTTGATTTGACCCTCTCAGGAGAACTCCATAATACCTGCAATAATTTTTTTTTTCATTGCATCTTTTCCAACTCTGCTAAAAAAGGGTTACAGAGTATGGAAAAAGGAAAGATTGTTGAACACGTCAGTTTTCAGAATCAAAATCACTTTCAAGGTTTGTGTTGATCGACCTTAGGGATAAGGTAGATTCTTATTTAGATCTAAATGCAGACAAATCTTCTTGAAAGTTGAGTCCTGTTTGGGTCTGAGCTCAACCTTTCACTCTTCAGCAATTTAGCATAGGAGTATAATGAAATATTGACAATATCTCAGTTGTCTGATTGTTAATGTTTTGCTAACAGATGGTGAGCTTTGCTGTGAGCCCCTTTTTCTCCAGTGACACCAGTTTTGACATCAGTGGAACAGTGGGGGGTCTAAGTCTTACTGGTCTGGATGGCTTGATCATACCAGTCAGCAACCTCAAAGAGAACATTGAAGTAAATCCACTATTTTCTATCCCTCTCCCTCTTTTCCCATTTTTTCCTTTCTCCATTAATGAACTGTAATTTGTGTTATCATCTTCTGTAAGGTGAAAACAAATGCTGCAGTGTTGATTACCTTAGATAATGGGATGATGTTGTCTGCATTTGTGATGAGGGGATTTGTGTGATGTGATGAATGAAATAACAAATATTTCTGTCTTTTCTTAAAAAGGAGGTATCTTATCCTTCATTTAAATGGATGTGAGAATGAATGTTTTCAGAGGTTAGCTGACATTAGCAAGAAAATTACTTTGAAGCTGGTATTTTTGCTTTCCTGATGTTATGAACAAAGATAATCTAGCACGTGGTTGCATGCTAGGAGCAAAGTGCTTTGCTGTATTTAAACCTCTATCTTTCTGTTTAAAAACAGATCATGTTACCAAGGCTTTCATCGACTCAGGAAGATAAGATTCTGTTGAATCTGGGCAATTACAGCACTTTCCAAGTCAATGTTACCTCAGAAAACACATCTATAGTGATCCACCTGGAATCTGAACACGACATTCCACTAATACTCTACCTGGGGTACGGTTATCACCCAAATGAGACTAATTATGATATGAAAAAACATCTGTTCTCTAAGAAAGCTGCTGGAGGTAAGATAATGTTTAGTGACCCATGAACTTGCAGAGTGAGCCTTGCCCATGGGTTCAGGTGTCCAGCTGGAAAGAAACCTCTCACAGGAGTTTCAGTCTGTCGTGCTTCAGGGTTCCAGTCTCTAGTGCACAGTGTTCACCAACAGGAGCAAAGAGTGGGCTGCTTTGAATGATGAGTTGCTAAGAATTATTTCATACCTGTTTCTTTGGTTTATTTATTATATGCAATAGAGCTGCATACTTCTGAATTAGCATTTCTCCATGCATTGAAACTAAAATGTTTCTCTTCAAGGTGAGACAAACACCTGGGTTCTTAGCCCGGAAGAACTCATTTTTGGAGAAGGAACCTACTATTTCATGGTTTTGCAAGATATGGGAATGGATTCCAAAGTCTATGCTGGGCTAACTATAGGTGTCACTTGCTTTGCATCCCGCTGTGTATTTTGGGATGAGCGCCAGGGGAGCTGGAACAGCTATGGATGTCATGTAAGTCGAGCAAAACAAAACAGTGTTTCTGTTACACACTTCAAAGCCAGCCCTTATAACCACCACCTTGCAGTAAAATGAGAGCACTGAACTTGCACCTCAAAACAAGATCATTCTGAGATGTTTTAATAAACTGAAGAAGTTTAGTCATACTGAACTAAGCTTCAAATGACATTTCCATTTCTATTTCTTGGGATGAACTTCCAAGAAGAAATGAAAAATTTTGACAAGGCCAAATGCTATAATGCTTGTTACTGGCTACATATTAATGTTCCTTATTGGAATTTGAACTATTCTTTTGTGTACAGCAGTTCTCTGCACTAACTCACCAATCTCAGCACTATCTTTTCATTTGCTTGGTAAGTCATCTAATACTTTAAAGCCAAATGTTTTATCAGGATTCTTTTTTTTGTGGGTTTCAGGTAGGACCAAAAACAAATCCTAGAAGCACACAGTGCCTGTGCAATCATCTGACTTTCTTTGGGAGCTCCTTCCTTGTCATTCCCAATGCCATAGATGTCAGCAAAACTGCACAGCTATTTGGTACATTTGTGGACAATCCCGTGGTGGTGACAACTGTAGGATGCATCTTTCTGATTTATGTGCTTGTAGTTATTTGGGCTCGAAGGAAAGACATCCAGGATGATGCCAAAGTAAGTCTTCAGCTAATAAAGACAATGTATTTAGGCCAATTCCCACCATGCCAAGGCTGTGTTAATAGGAAGTCTTTAACTTATTCTACTCCCTTCCCTGTAACTCTGTTTACTGGGAAGTAAACGTTGTTCACAGGATGACAAATTCCTGCTCACAGCTTTCAGGAATCCACGCTTCCAGACCAGCTGACACACTGCTTGTGTTGTGTTGCTCTGCAGGTGAAAATCACAGTCCTGGAAGACAATGACCCCTTTGCTCAGTATCGGTACCTGGTGACAGTTTTTACAGGACACCGCCGTGGTGCAGCCACAACCTCCAAGGTATTCATGGCACTGTGAGGGGAAACAGTTTGTGCACCCATTTAGGGAACTGCATGAACAATGGAGTGCCTGAGGCTGTTAAACAGGACAGCTCAAATGCACCATCTAAGCCAGAAAGTCCTTAGGTTTGATGGAAGCTGGAGGAATATGCCAGAGGAATAATTGTACGTAGGACCGGGATGTCTTCATTGTGCCATCTTATTTTCCAGGTGACTCTCACCCTCTATGGAATGGAAGGAGAGAGTGAGCCCCACCATCTAATTGATCCTGATACACCTGTGTTTGAACGTGGAGGAGTGGATGTTTTCCTTCTCTGTACCTTCTTCCCTCTTGGGGAACTGCAGAGTATTAGACTGTGGCATGATAACTCAGGGGACAGCCCGTCCTGGTAAGTGGAGATCTGAAGATTCACAAATTTTTCTTTATAATGATAACAGTTTTCTAGCTCTTGAGAATTATCCTTCCTAAAGTTCTAGAAAGAAGTGTTAGTTTCTCATTTTTGCAGGTGAATAGGTCAAATCATAATCTAAACTGCAGGACCAGGAGTGCTTCCCATATCCCATGTCCAGTACAGGATGGGATGTGTTCTGTGCCTTACAGTTTAGACACACCCTAAGAAGCCAAAGGCCAGAGTTTGTCCTCCATAAGTGCTGTCCAGTTCTGAATTTCACATGTGATTGTGCCATGTATGTTTTTCCAACAGGTATGTGAATCGAGTGTTAGTCCATGATCTGGCATGGGATCAGAAATGGTACTTCCTCTGTAACTCCTGGCTAGCCATTGATATTGGAGAATGTGTCCTAGATAAAGTGTTCCCAGTAGCTACAGAACGGGACATGAAGCAGTTCAGGTACCTTCTATTTTATGCACGTTTTTAATCTTGATAGCAATCAATCTAGAAGAGCAAGCATGAAAAAGAAAGACCAAACCCCCAGACAAAAATGAAAACAAGGAATGTCTTTCCAGTGCTCTGAAAGGGCTCTGAACAAGGAAAAGAGGAAGGATACAGTAATACCACACTGGAAATATTGGTGTTTAAGAAGGATAGCCTGACAAGACCTACAGAAACCCAAGCATCTTCTCTTATGTGTAATTTCCTTAACAATTTAAATAGAAACTGCTCATGGTTCACTTTCCCTCCATGGTGTGGCCAAAAGGAAAGGATATAAGTAGCTATGACCACTCTGTGCAAATCAAACCACAATATTTGGTAATTTCTCACCGTTATTATTCCTTCTGACAGTACCTGCAAGCATGATCAGGTCAGGACACTGAACTACAGTTTTAGTCTTTCCTCTCCTTTCTAAGCATCCATTTGATTTCCCTCTCCTCCTTTCCAGCAATCTGTTTTTCATGAAGACCTCCAGGGATTTCCAGGACGGGCACATCTGGTACTCGGTTTTCAGCCGCTCCCCACGAAGCTCCTTCACGCGCGCCCAGCGCGTGTCGTGTTGCTTCTCCCTGCTGCTGTGCACCATGCTGACCAGCATCATGTTCTGGGGTGTGCCAAAGGACCCAGCCGAGCAGAAAATGGATCTGGGTAACAAACCTCACCATTGCTTGGGCAGGGAAATAGAGAGGCAGCAGAATGTAGAAGCAGGAGAGTTGAACAAATGGGCTTTTTCACAAGATAAACCTGATGGTTTATTTTTCCTGGGGTTGTTTTTCCTCCTCCCCTCTGTTTGACCTTGACAGGTAAGATCGAGTTCACATGGCAGGAAGTGATGATTGGCTTTGAGAGCTCCCTCCTCATGTTCCCCATCAACCTGCTCATTGTGCAGATCTTCAGGAACACACGACCCCGGCCAGCCAAGGAGGGGGGACAGAGGAAGCCGGGGAAGAATGGCCGAGTGTCCCCAAGCGTACCCCTCACCTCAGAGGTCACCCAGGCTGCCTCGCTCACTCCAGAGGCTGTGACAAAGGCAAGTCCCTGCGAGTCCTGCACTGCCCTCTGGTGCCACGCACAACCAGCTTCCCTGGCTCCACAGCACAAACGTTCCCTACCAGATGCCCTTCAGCCAGTCTGAAGAGAAAAGCCAATTGCCACGGGTGCAAAGCTCTCATTTGCCCACCTAAATGCCATCCACAACTTTGTTAAGAGCTGCCTCTGTACGTCCCAGCCCTTGCACAATTACTGTGCAACCAAATCACTGTGTTCAGGGGTAAAGGAAACACTAAGCAAGACAGTGAAGATTAAAGGTATCATAGACCCAACCTTTCTCAGCTTAGGTCCCCAGGCAGGTAAGCTGTCCTTTTGAACCCTGAAAGCTGTCTTGCTGAACTCACTGAAATCTGCTCATCACATCCAGCAGTGTAAGATGTGCTATTCTTATCCATTCTGGAGACTTTAGCAATTGGTGCAGCTCCCAGCCAGTGGTGCTGTCAGATCACATCAGCTTAAGCCACTGCAGCCAGAGTCACTGCTGTGTTGCTCTGTCTTTCCTAGGATATAAGAAGAATTGCCAACTCACTCTTGAAAGTCCTGAAGACTCCACCTCTCACCTCAGCATCAGATCTTGGAAAAGCAACAAACATCAACTCCCTTCTGTCATTGGTTGAGGACATCATCTGCCAGCAGAACAGAGCTGGGCAAGGGTTTTATGACGGGAGCAAAAAGGATGGCCCTGTAATTGTCACTTTAGGTTCTATGGATATGCAAGGTACACAACAGACTGTGAAATGCCCTCTGAAGCCTTTGCAGTGCAAATGATGACAGCACTGGATGGGATGACCCAAGCTCTTCTTACATTCTGACACAGAGGCAATTGCAGAATTACAGAGCAGCTGAGGTTAGAAGGGATCTCTGGATCCCACCACTCTGCTCAGAGCAGGGTCAGCTGGGGAAGGATTGCCCAAGATCAGATCCAGTCAGAGTTTGAATGATTCCAAGGGCAGAGATTCAGCAAATTCTCTGATCAACCTACTCCAGTGTCCAACAGTCCTCACAATACTCTCCTGTTCAGAAAGAATTTCCTGTGTTTTAATTTGTGCCCATTGCCTCTTGTCCTTTCACTGTGCACAACGGAGCGCCCAACTGAGTAAAGACAACTGTGAAATCTCTATTTCTTACACTGTAGAATTAAATATTTGCTACCAGTCTGACTTGGGAGCAGGATCAGTATCTACCAGCACAAAGACTCATGAATATCAGTTGTTTCACAGTTTTTTAACCTGTCTTTTTTTTTCCTCTTGGTCTTGTGCTGTTGTTCCTTTCAGTTTGACTCTCAACTCAGGCATTTATTTATCTTCAATTAAACAAGAATATATGAGTAAACAATCTAACTGATTTCATTGATACTCATAGTTGTCTTTTCCAATGAGTCTACCAATTGCACAGGGAAACTATGAACAAATTAACAGTTGATCTGATCTGACTTCTCTATTAAGGTTTTAGGACCTGTTTAACTAATTCCAGCAGAAGAGTATTAAGCTCTAGTACTAAAGCTGGTTTTACACACCCCTTGACATGTTGCTCTTCACTTTGTCACATTCATAATCCTTAGCTCCAGTTCTACTACCCTTTGTACTGAACAGTATTTTAATCTGGACATAGTTTTTCTCAATAGGTAAATAAATAATTCTTCGCCTGCAGAAAAAACAAGAAGCCCAAGTCCAGGGAAGAGAATTTGTGAGCGACTGAAATACAGTGATTACAATTACTGCTTGTACACACAACTCCAGCATGTGGAGATGGAGCTGGAATTACTGGGGCCCCATAAATTCCAGCTGCCTCAGAGTTACACACAAGCTGTTCATCAGGTTCAGCACATGAAGAACCTCCTGGAGCCCCGAATGTGCTCGTCAGCATCCATCAGTGAGGGGTAACCTGGTTCTCATCTCACTCTCAGTATAAGTAAATTCATGAATTCAAAATTGGTCAGGATGACAGAGCCCAAATAATTACTGCTTAATATGTGCTAGATGACTATTATTATAGCTGTAAAAATAAGTCTTACTATTATACCATTGTAGAAAAGAAATTTCCACGCACTGTGAACTGCACACAAAGGCAATAATGACAGATCATTGCTCTTTGTTATTTTGGCCTCCAAAATGGGAAGTTACAACACAATGCCACATGATAGTAAAGGGCTGGGATAATCACCAAGCTCCAAAGCCACAGAAGTCTCTTTAAATGTATGGATAAAGAAAAATTAATAAGCAGACAAAAATAGTGCAGTGAAATATGATAATTAAATTGGAAGAATCGAAAACAATTGCTCTAATTATCTCTCTGGCCTTTATGCTGATCACAAGAGACACATCCAGCAGCTTAAATACACTCATGGTTTTCTTTGTCAATAATTCTACTGGAGGTTCAATTATGCATAAACTGGGGAGTAAATAAGTCCATCATATTTATTTGGATTTTAGCTGATCTCTGCACACTTCCTCGCATTTTTGCTACCCATACTTTTTGCTATCCATATATCCTACATAACTGCATTAGTTAAAAGAAGTCAGAATATTTTGATTGAGGTTTTAAATCATAAGATGTTGCCTGTTCCCAGTGAACTTGATGGTTGTGATTTTGGCTCCTGTTCCACCACAGACTGATATTTTCTCTTCTGGTTGACTCTCAAGGTGGTCCCTTACTCCAAACTTCTCCGGTGATGACAAGAAGAGTGTTTCTTCCAAAGGACTGCCCTGGTGGTTTGTGTTCATCGGGTGGTTCCTGGTGGCAGCCACCAGTGGTGTGTCCGGGTTCTTTACCATGCTCTATGGGCTGCACTACGGCAAGGAGAACTCCATCAAGTGGCTGATCTCCATGGTCATCTCCTTCTTGGAAAGTCTTTTCATCACACAGCCCTTAAAGGTGAGATCCTCAGAAATACAACCACTGGGCAAGATCAACTCATCTATTACCATAGCAGGAAGACAGTGTAGCACGTTCTAAAGAACCACAGGATCTAAGATATAAAATGAGAAGCCTTTGCCCTTAACACAAGGTGGTTTGTAGAGTTCTGTTGTCTTTTGCTGACATTAACTCCATTAGTTTCATCTCCATTTTTTCATCAGGGTTTAATAGGAGATGAGGTTTCTGAGCAGGGAAGATGCGTCACCGTGCACTGTTCTCTTGTTTAAGGGCTTCAGCTGCAGGAGCTCAACAGTCAGAGAGCAGTTGTTCTCTGCAGTGCCTGGATCCAAAGGGATCAGTGGCCTGCACTTCTTTATATGAAATGGGCATATGGTGACTTATAGCTGATTCTTTCCAGGTGCTGGGATTTGCTGCTTTTTTTGCTCTGGTTCTGAAGAAGGTGGAACATGAGGATGTAGAAAACCCAGCTATTGATGGGCCTTTATCTGCACCAGGTAAGTGCCGGTAAAGTGAGATATTATTAAAGAAAGTGCAGCATTCTCAAGCTTCTGGAGTGCTTTATGCATAAATGTGTGACTCAGCTCAGCTGAGAACTTCACTGGTTATCTTTACATACCTGAATCTTAGCTGTCAATGTCAGCAGAAATCACTTAATCCACAGGCATTATGACTACCTGCCTACCCATCAGCATTCCCAAGATCAAGTGGAAGTGAAAACAAACCTAAATAACTGGTTTTGTGTCAGCTGCAGAAAAAAATAAAGACCACTGTACGTATAGGTTGGATAAATCCTGCAGAACTGTTTCCTAAGGGAAAGCAATAAATAGAAATGTTTCCTTTGAACGTCCAAAGAAACAAAAAGCAGGACATGGATGATCTGTTTACTAATCCCAGGGTTTACTGCTCTCCCTCTCAGGTGATTCACACCCTGTCTTTGGAGCCCGAAGGGACAGCAGAAGCAACATTTACCGGCCACCTCCTGCAGCTGATGTGGAAAAAATGAAAATCAGCTGCATGAAGGAGCAGAAAGCATTTGCCCTCATCCGAGAAATCCTGGGTATCCATGCCTAGATTCTCTTGCTTTATTCAGTAGTACTCATCAGTGCTTTTACAGCAGTGAAAATATTGTTCTCTTGGGTGACAAAGTTTTGGCATATCTTCAGCTTTCTGCCAGCCATTGTGATGTAGAGACAGGCTGTTCTGTGGCAGCTGGAGCTGCAAGGAGGTGGAAATGTCAGCTGGAGGTAGACGTGTGGCTAAGTCTTGATTTTATGGTAAAGAAACATGTCAGAGACACATAAAAGGTTAAAATAAAAATAGGAAGGATGGAATGAGGAGGTCAACAGTAAAATGAAGCTGAAGTCAAAGAGCAGAGGGAGGACATCTTTCTAAAAGCAGTGGTATCTATATAGATAATGATTTATACTCTTGTTTTACTTCCTCTGAAATCAATGGGAAAATTACCTCAACTTCACTGGGAACAAAGTTAGACTACTCATTTTATTTAGAGCTGTTGAACTGCTGTTCAGCCTTCCCACTTGTTTTCTTGACTGCTGCTCACATTCCAGCTGTGAAACAGTTAAACTGCAGCAGGTTGTGCACATTCACCAGCACTGGTCACTCAGAGTCTACAAAGCACCTCCTTGGCCTGATGGGTGCTGACAGCAGTAACCATTCCTGCAGTGTATTTTGAACAGCATTGTTAATTCAGATCTCACATGTGCTGTCTCTTCCTGTTTTTTTCCCAGCCTATATTGGGTTTTTATGGATGCTGTTACTGGTTGCCTATGGGCAGAGAGATCCCAATTCCTACTATTTGAACAAACACATTGAGGAAAGCTTTACAGCTGGATTCCACGATGTCTACAGTTACCAGGATTTCTTCACGTGGGCAAACACAACCTTACTCAAAAACCTGTACGGATCATATAAAGGTGCAGAGTCACATTGTTTCCCATCAGCTTGCCAGATTCTGAAGCATAATCTTTTATACATATCCCTAACTTTTACATGCATATTTGAATGGAGAAAGAGATGTGAGAGTACAAGGCTAGCATGAATTCTTATAATATGAATACCCTCACAGCTTGATCACAGGTCAAATGTGCCCTGATATTTTCCTTGTATTTTATATAAACCAGAAGATCTGCACTATAATGCTACATTTTTCACATTTTACATTAGGTACTGCAGATGTTCAGATTTATGCCTCAGTTCTACTCAAGCTTCTTTCCATAACCCAGAAAAGAGAATGGCAGACAGGTGGCACCATAAAGCTTTTCTCAGGAGAGTTGTTTGCATCAGGGCTTGGGTCAATGTGAAGGCAAATTATGCAATATCACCGTGTTCTCTCTATGTAGCCACATGCAGAAAAATCTGACCCATTTTCCAGCTCACATTTAAGGGTAAATACTGAAATACATTAGCAGAGTTGTTCTTTGGCCATGACAGGCCACACGAACACTGCATAAAGCTACTCTGCTGTGGGAGTCAAAGTGAGTCACTTTTCTCCCTCCAGCCTCATTTTCCTTCTGTATAAAATACAGATGGGTAGTGATACTGAACTCTGGTTTTATGAATGTTCTTTAAGAACTCAGTTCCAATCAACATAAGGGTTTCATTTCCATGACTATTTTGCTTACAGTGTTTCTGAGAAAAGAATATATGGCAAAATATTAAGGCATCAGTGAATCATAAATGAAATGAAGAAATATTATTTGTTCTGTCATGTTGCCAGTGCTGCTCTTTTCCATCTCCTGTTTAGGATTCATTACAGATGGCAATTCCAAGCTGGTGGGGAGTGCTCGAATTCGCCAAGTAAGAGTGAAAGGAGACACCTGCCCTATTTCTCCCAAACTCCAGCATGTAGTTGAGGAATGCCACGCTCCATACTCCCTACAGACAGAAGATACAGCAGTTTATGGGGAACACTGGAATACTTCGGTCTTTGATAACTCCTCTGAGCTGAGCTCAGCGTGGCAGTATCAGAGTCAGTCCAAACTGAGAGGGCAGCCCAGCTGGGGTAAACTGGCCACCTACAGTGGAGGGGGATACGTGATTCACCTGGGAACCGATCCTGGGAATGCCTCCAGGTACCACTTGTATTCCTGTAAGTTATCAGTGTCTCCTCCCTGTGATACTGTCTCTATCCTGGATGAGTTGGATCACTGGCTTTACATTGTTTTGGCAGAATTCTCCAATACCTTTTCAACAATGTCTGGCTGGACACCTTCACCAGAGCAGTGTTTGTTGAATTTACAGTCTACAATGCCAATGTGAACCTGTTCTGCATTATAAGCCTGATGTTTGAGAGCAATGCTTTGGGTGAGTACATTTTTTAAGTTACACATTTGTGAAGAGAGCAAGCAGTGCACCTATAGAAGGTGGATTTACATGTTGTCAGTGTTTTCCTAGTTCTTTATTCAGTAAACAGAAGGGTTTTAATAAATCTAATCATGGCAGAATCAATGCAAATTATATAAATCATTAAGGAAAAATGCAGCATCACAGTAATACTGACCAAAATGGAATATCTTATGTTTGCTTATGCTGTGGTCATCTGCTGATGAAGGAAACATGGCACTGAAACTTAACCTCCAGAATTTATACAAGAACAAGAAAAAATTATGTTTCCTAATCTCTTCAGCTAATCAATACAATATTAAGACAAAAAGTACAAATAACAGTCTGTCTTCTTTGTTCCAGATGACTTCCAGTATATTGCTGTGTAATCATATAATACATAACCTGGATACAACAAAGAGAATAGAGAAACCATATTCTGGTTTAAAGGCCATAAAAAAAAAAAACATTTGGTCTGGGAGCAGCCTCCCTCAGGTCTGGCCCGGTGCTGGAAAATGCCAAAACTGACTGCAAAACTGAGCTCACGTTCCTTTTAGAATGAGATTCAGCTTTACATCTCCAAGTCCTCCTGCTACAGTCCTGCATTTGCAGTCCAATCCAAACCTGCTGGGATTAGTGTTGTGCTATGACACAAGACAGCACCAGCACTCTGAAAGCCATCGACTGCCTGAAATGCCTGTTTGAGGAAAATGTCAAAGAACACTTACAAGGCTACATAATCCAGTCTAAATCTCAGTTTGATGGTTGGAGTCAGGCTCACATTGATGTGAAAGCAAGTACAGAAGTCTGACTGGTGAACTGAGTGTTGGAATGAGAACAGAGAGGTGTGACTATCAGAGCCCTGAGGTGACCCCTGTTTGTGTTTTAGGTGCCTTCTTCACCAGTGCAGAGCTGCAGAGTGTCCGGCTTTACCCCTACACCAACAGCCTCCACATCTTTGTGGTTGCAGCAGAAGGGATTTATTTCCTCTTTATTGTGTACTACATGATAGTACAGGTGAGCTCAGTGGAAAGTTCAGCATCACCTTGTGTCTGAGGTGGATTTCATTCACGAAAACTTTGTGACTGTACTTGATTTCAGAAGCACTGATGTTGCTACACCAATGAAAGATTAAATCCCATACAGTATCAGTATAAAATAATGGGAAGGCAACACTTGATTTGGCTGGAATGCTTCTTTTGAGAAAGATAATGAGAAATTAGTGCAAGCTGTAGTTTTGTTGATGCACAGTAGTCTGTTTTATTGCAGAGGGGATTGCCCTAATCTTTAGAGGTATTATATGATCTGGAGTCATGAGACTGAGACAGTAAAACTCCTCTTTTCACAGGGGAAGCTGATGAAGAGTCTGAGATGGAGATATTTCCACAGCAAGTGGAATCTCCTGGAGATGGCCATTATATTGATTAGCTGGAGTGCTCTGTCAGTGTTTGTGAAGAGGACAATCCTTGGGACCCGAGACATCAGTTACTACCAGGAACACAAAGAGAAGTATGTACTAATGCTATTTCATGCATCCTTTATTGTTGCTACTTATGCAGAAATAAATCTATTTTTCCCCTTCCAGACAGCAGCTTGTCTGTGCTAGAAACTGCTATCCTATATGGGTATATTCATGAAGCCTGTAAGTGTTTCAGGGCTTAGATTTGTGTCAGCAATAGGATTTTCTTCTGATACCTCTCTAATAAAATCCAGCAGACTTGAGCACTAAGTTTCCCTTTCTAGCTGCTAATTTCCTGTCTGCATCACCCTCTTTTGAACCAACAAGCCTTTCTGCTACAGGACCTCCACCCAGAAAGCACATAATCTGCCTTGTTCTTTGTTGTAAAAAGCCATTGGTTACAGGACAATAATGGCTTATTTAGTACAGAATGGGAAATTATAACATCTGTTAAAATACAGTCACACAGGAAAGAAGTGACAGGGTCACAGGATGATTTAGGAAGGAAAGGATCTCTGAAGGCTTCTGTTCCAACCCCCTCTTTTGGTGTTAGATCAGGTTGCTCGGGGTCTTGTTTGCTTGAGTTTTGAGTATCTCCAAGGACAGAGGTTCCACAGCCTCTCTGGAGCCCTGTCCCAGTGCTGAACTACTCTCATTGTAGAGGAAAAAACCCTGTTTTTTCCATGTCCATCTGGAATTCCTCTTGCTGCAGCTTGTGGCTATTACCTCTTGTCATTTCATTGTGCACCTCCAGGAAGTGTCTTACTGCACCCTCTCCATAACCACTGACTATACAGCTGGAGGCAGCAACTGGAGGCCTCCTTAGCTTTCTTTGCTCCAGACTGAACAAACCAAACTCCCACACCCTTCTCTCCTGTGTCCTGTGCCCCCACTGCCAACCATCTCAGTGCCCTTCATTGGACTCAAAGGCTCCTGGCACTGGGGAGCCCAAAACTGGGCTCAGAATCCCAGATGCAGCCTCACATATGCTGACAGAGCAGAAAGAACAAGCACTTCTTTAACCTGACAGCTACATTCTTGCTAATGCAGCACTCGTTTATCACACAGGAATATGTCATGTGCTCCATTTGTGCACACAACTCATAAAAGCTGCATTAGCTGCCTTTAAACTATGACTTGATAAAAATAAGCAGCATTTAGGCTACAGCTAAAATGCTGTAAAAAATCATTAAAAAAACCCAACTCTGCCCTGCACAACTGAGCTTTTTGTGTGTGCACAGCAGGAAGTACAGGTGGGAAGACTCCAGCAGGAACTCATTAGGTCTCCAGTGAAACCAGGACAGAGTCACTGGCCTTTCCAACACACCCATTTATATGCTCTTCAAAGGACTCTGTGTGCATGGCCTGTTACACATTTCCCTTTCCTCCAACAGCTCTGTGAGCTTCAGTGAGACAGCGAGAGCTGATGCAGTTCTTGGTTACCTGATCGCGTTCCTGGTGCTCCTCTCCACAGTGAAACTGTGGCACCTCCTCAGGCTCAACCCTAAGCTAAACATGATCACCTCAACACTGAGGAGGGCATGGGGTGACATCTCTGGATTCATCACTGTGATTGCAATCATGTTCCTTGCCTATTCCATTGCTGTGAGTACCCCTGTGCTTTCTGTTGTCTGCAGGCTGCACCCAGGGACTGTCAGGTTAAATGATTTATTTCTGGATGCTGAAAGCAACACGGCTTTGCCTTGTACAGTGGAATAAAGCTGTCTGTCCAAATCTTAGGTTAGCAGCTTGTATGTGTGAAAGAGAAGTTAAAATACCCACTCGTCTGTTCTTTGTAAACCAAAATTTAGTAAAAAATAAATGCTGAGATGAAAAAAAAAAGGATTATCTACGTGTAATAGATATGACAAAGAACAAAGTACAGGAAAAATAATTTATGCAGAAATAAATCTATTTTCCCCCTTTCCAGACAGCAGCTTCTCTGTGCTAGGAACTGCTATCCTATTTGGGTATAAAATTATTATGTGGAGAGTGCAGCAAGTGTCATTTTCTGTTTGGTTAGTTTATAAGTGGGAAATAATTATTTTTCTGTCTATTGCAGGAATACTTATTATACAAATACAATTATATTTTCATCCTAATGGGGTTAAATAATTCTTGGACTGCAACTATTTATGTACATTTGTTGTTTAACTGAGATGTTTTGTGTAAATCTTCTGGCAGGGCAATTCGGGAAATTCAGCAAATTAATTCCAGAGTCACTAAAAAAGTAGAAACCATCTGAGCCAAATCCAAGTTGTCCATAAAGGACAGTCCTGTGACAAACAGGACCTGCTGCAGACTCACACTGCCTGATTTCATGTCCCTCATCCCTCCCTCCAGCGCTGACACTCAGGCAACTGAGTAGATTTAGGCACTGGTGTGGTCACAAACTTACCAGGTAAAATAAGTGATCAGATCAGTTCCATGACCCAGCCTGCTGTCCCATCATGAGAGTGATGAAGCTGGGAAAGAAAGAAGCAGAGGGATGAGAAAAAGGTGAGCCCGCAGCAGCCTTCATTTAAATCAGACACAGCAGGCCCACAAGGTATAAATGAACAAATCAGCATCTTGGTTACTGAGGGCAAACAAGGAGGTTGCCTGTTTGGAAGGATCTGTGTTTGTGCCTATGAATTATTTGGACAGGGATAAATTTGCTCCTTGAAGATGAGCTAAATTACTTTCATGATTTTTGTCATGTATTTGCAGATTTTTTCACATATCTAGTGGCAAGCTGAGCCGATATAAAACATTCTCATATCCATGATAAAAGGTCTTAAAGCTAAACACACTCAGAAAGTGTGAATCCAGTTTTAGCTCTAGGTTAGGCTTCTTCTGTGACCTCATCTCATGTTTCCCCTGCTTGTAAATAAAAGAAAAACCCAAACCACAAAAAGCTTCATGGCTCTAATGACAAGCTGGGAGGGTTTTCTCTGAATACAGAAGTCACCAGCTGATTTTGCAGCAAGGACTCTGATCATGACACAAGATGTGACTTCTGTCCTCTGCAGGCAAACCTGATATTTGGCTGGAAGCTCTGCTCTTACAAAACTCTCTTTGATTCAGCAGAGACCATGGTCAGTCTTCAGCTGGGAATTTTCAACTATGAAGAGGTACCACTTTTAATTTTGGGAAGTTTATCACCATACAATTAGCATCTCAGCTACCAAATATGCTTTGACCCAGCAAATAGAAATACTTGCAATTAGTGTTAAACATTAATATAATTTTGCAAGCTCCACGGCTTCCTAAAGCAGCTGCCTTTTCTCATCAAGGAAAAGGCACCAAGTGAAATCTCTCTCACATCCCATTTTGACCATGAGGAGACTCATAATGAACCTTTCATTGAGAAACCTGCCCACATTTCAACTAGAGAGATGTTACTAATTCATTACAGAAAGTTTGGAGCAATTTCCTTAGAAAGCTAAAGACAGAAATGTGAGTGATGCCTTGTGTTTGTTCTGAACAAACCCTCCAGCTTCCCAAGAAAGGCAAGAGGAACTTTGTGCTACATTTGTTTTTATTGCTCTCGACTTTTTCACTAAGTTCTTTCAAATACTGCAATTTCCTTTGAACACTCTTTTTGTGGAGCAAGCTAGTTCTTGGACATCTCTGACTGTGAAGTCCTCCTTGGTGGATGTTTTTAGACCATGGGTCCAATAGGATATGGGTGGCTTTGAAGATCAGTAACTGGGCACAAAGTTTTTCACCTCTACATCCCACTCATGTTAATCATGGAAATATGTTCCTGTGTTGTAGCTTACTTAAAAATTAGGGGTTTGGATTTTTCACAACCCTTGGTTTGTAAGTGTCTAAGCACGTCTGACTGGGCTTCTCTGTAAAACATACAATAAAATAAAATAAATGCATAAAGAGATTTCATGTGTACTTTGAAAGCTGAGGTGTGAGGGAGCTTCAGTTGTTCTGTGGATAAACAGATCTCCAGGCTTCTCAACTGTCATGTGAAAGTTTCATACCATTACAATCAAATTCAAATATTTAAAAAACCCCAAAGATTGTCCATCTTATATATATACACATATATATATAATATTCTATCATATTTTTACTATATCATATTAACACATGACAGTGGCTAAAGGAGAAAATGTATATATATGTATAATACATATGGTATAATTGATTAGGCACAGGATTTTCAGAAAGACAAACTTTTTGGGTCTTAACTGCTTGTATGTGTGGATGTCTGTTTGTGGTTACAATCACAACATGATGTCTTACCTTATGAATTGTACAGGTCTTGGACTACAATCCAATTTTAGGCTCCTTCTTAATTGGATCCTGCATCGTTTTTATGACATTTGTGGTACTGAATCTGTTCATTTCGGTGATTCTGGTTGCTTTTAGTGAGGAGCAGAAGCACTACCAGGTGTGTCCATCTAAACTCTCCTGTTTTTAATATTTATTGTTCAGTGCTTACTCATGATTTAAGTATTCAACCACGGATGAAAACCATGTAAATTCAATCCAACTCTTAAGAAGTCAACATTTGCTGAGAAAGCACACTTCAGATTTTCCAGATTGACACTGTCTTTTCCTGGCCAGACAACTTGCTGTTCAGATGCAGTACGGGATCTGATTTGTAGCCTTCTCTTCACATACTAAACCCAGCAAAAAGTCTTAGGCTTGTGCTGGGCTATTTTGAAATCAGTGCCAAAACTGCTACTGAAGTGCATGAGGACTTTCCAGCTCCTTTCAAAACTCTCATTGTGAGTGCCTGACCCATTCAAGCTATTGATAACATGGTGTGAAATCCAGCTTAGTACTCCAGTGCTAATGCCCAGAATTCCTCTATGTTTTAAAAAAAGTCAAAGGAGATGAAAACAAAGGATGTGGTTGGTAGAAAACGAGAGATATTCAGTTTTTCTCATTTACTTCATCTAGAAACGGTGGGTGGCTCATTGTACATACCACTGGCTGCATAGGAGCTGGCAAGTGAACTCCAGGCTCCTGTAGAAAGATTTCCATGGGCTTTGACAGAGCCAAAATTTCTGTGGTGCCCATGCTCATCTGGGGCTTTTGTCTGGATAAAAATATTGGCAAGTTTTGCTTTGGCAGTCACTCATGCCTTGCTGGGAATGAAAAGTTGGCTTATTTCAACTCAAGCAGAGATTTTGTCTTGCAACTGAATCCACTTCTGGTCTGTGCATCCGAGTAACTTTGCTGCTTGTTGTTATTTCAGGCTTCAGAAGAAGAGGAGATTGTTGATCTGATGCTAATGAAACTCTTCAGTTTCTTCGGGATTAAATGCAAGAAGGAAGAGAAGCCAGTCACTGACGGGCAGCTGGAGCAACCTGTCAGCGAGTGAACGACCACCACATTGAAAAGTCACTTTGCTTGTGGTCATAATATTTACTTGTTCGCTATCAGCTGCAGTGGTTAGGGTTAGGTTAGGTTTTAGGCTTAGGTTATCGCAGCTTCTCACTAGAACGGGCTTACCCAAGGGAATGGCGTGAAGCTGTGACAGGGGAGGTTTAGGTTGGATATAAAGAAAAGGTTAAAGAGGGTGGTCGGGCACTGAACAGGCTCCCAGGACAGTGCTCGTGGTCCCAAGCCTGAGGGAGTTCAAGGAGCCTTTGGACAATGCTCTCAGGCACATAGTGGGATTCTTGGGGGTGCCCTGTGCAGGGCCAGGAGCTGGACTTGGATCATCCGTGTGGGTCCCTCCAAACTGAGAATATTTCGTCGTTCTGGGAGAATGACGCGGTGTCCACCAGCGAGCCGTTCTCAGCGTGTTATTTTGGAGTAACAGCTAAGAAGTAACGCTAAACCTAAGCCGAAACGTCCCACGTGCACTTGCTGTAGATTCGACATCTGTATTTATTTAATAAACAATGAGCGTCTGTTGCAGTCCGGCTAAAACCTCTCGCTCTCCCTCACGGGAAGATGGCGGCTCCCTCACGCCGGCCCCGGCCCCGCTGCCGGCGCGGCGGGGGCTCGGAGCTGTATCCAGGCGGCTCCTCACGGCCCGGCGAGTCCCCTCCCGCTCCCGCCGCCGTGAGGGACCCGCTGAGGGCCGGCACGGGCCCGTCCCCGCCCCGCCGCCATCACCGCCTCCCGCCGGCGCCGCCCTCGCCCGCCCGCGGCAAAGATGGCGTGGCGAGGGCTCTGGCGGGTCGGGCCGGTGCTGGCGCTGGCGCCGCGCTGCCCGCGCCTCTCGCCGCCACCGCGGGTGCCCGCGGCCCGCGGGCTGCGCACCGGGGCGCTGCTGCTGTCCGGTGAGTGCCGGCCGGGGGAGCGGGGCGAGCGCGGCACAGCGGCCCGGCGCCGCGGGGAGGCTGCGGGCAGGGTGGGCTGCGGGACCTCGCCCGCCGGTGCAGTGTGCGCGGGGCAGCCGGGGCGCGGGTCCCGCCGGGCGGCAGCCGGCCTGTATCCCTCCTTCCCTCCCTCTGTCCCTCTTTCTATCCCTGCATCTTTCCCTCATTCCCTCCCTCCCGCCCAGCCGTGTGTCCTGGCGGCCCCTCGGAGGGTACCGGGAGAGCCCCGCAATAGCGCTGAGGCCGCGCAGGGCTCGTCCCTGCCCCTTGTCCCGCTCCTGACACTCTCCCCACTCCCACCGGGAGCAGGTTCGCCTCCCTCAGTTGCCAAGAAACTTTTCACCTCCGCTCCTCTGAGCGCAGAGGCTCAGTCTCCCCCAGCCAGCAGCTTTGAGGAGCGGGGCCGAGCGCGGAGAGCACCAGCTTGACCAACACAGCATGTATTTTCCTGGGATTGTCGCCCCCAAACAGCTCCAAGGAGCGCCAGCAGCACAGGAAAGGGGCAGGAGTGGGTGTCTGGCGGGGGCAGAGCCAGGGCCAGGGAGCCCCAGCCAGGTTTTCAGGGCCTTGAGCCTGTTTGGGATGAAGAAGTTTTGCTCTGGCAGCCAGAGCTGCACCAGTGGCAAGGCAGGAGATGGACTCGCACATCAGTGCCTGGGGTGGTTTTGCTCTGTGTACTTAATTCTGAAGGCATCTGCATCTGCTGCTGTCGCAGCTCTCTTTGAATGGAAGTTGCCCACAGAAGTCTGAAGAACAGAATCTGTGGTACTCTAGCAAACAGAAATGTTGAAAAGGTCGGTGAGGAGGCAAATATGCTATAAAAGTAACGCAGCCACTAAGAAGAGCTCATCAGTTTTCTTCCAGACAGTCTTAAACCTACCTGCTTAACTGCCTTCTGCTGCAAGTGAAAGGAATAACGTTTGTTACTCATTATTTGCAAATTCAGTCTGAGCTTTTCACTATTCTGATTAAGGTACCCATTGTTTTTCTATACATATCACTTGAAGGAATAACAAGTTGTGCTTTTGTTTTAGGCAGAGAGGAAAAAGTTTGTATGCCTCTTGGTGGGAGTGTGAGTTCACTCTTCAGATGTATATTTATGAAGTATTTAATAGAAGCAGGTTACGCTGAATGAAGGGTTGAGTTCAGAATGTGTTAGTTAAGCTGAAACCAAAGTCCTGTTGAAATGAGTGAAGCTGGAAGAAATTCAGCTGCTCTTCTGAAAAAGAATGCAGGGGAGAGATTTGGTATGCTTTGACAATTCATATTCATCTGAGTTGATTTATTTAACGGGATGATCACATAAGATCAAAGTTCAAATTTTGAGCTTACTGATTAACTGTTTTTAATTTGACCTTTACTTTAGCTACCGTGTTTTTTGTTGTATGCTTAGATTTCCTAATTTGTCACTTTTTTTTTATCCTGAAAGAAACTTATGTGCTCTTCCAACTGTTCAGAGCATTTTAGTGCTGTATTCCACTGATGTGAAAGTGTTCTGGTTTTTTATTAGCCTTGCTTTATAAACAGATATTGTATAATATTATTATCCAAAATAAAAATGTATTTGTTGGTTTCTGTGTGAAGTTTGTAACATCACAAGTGTTCAACTTGGGTTTGAGATTCTGTGTCATTCTCCATTCTTATGGTTCATTACTCATTTCCAATAGAATTCCTGTGGGTTTAATGTCTTGGCCTAAAATGATTTAAGACATTTGATTTATTCTGTTCATTAGAGTGTGTCAGGAGATGTTTTTGTAGGTCTAAATAATGCTATCTGAAATTCTCTGGGGTTTTTGAGTGATAATTCATGGAAAAATACTTCATATTTACACCTTACTCAATTTTTTTGTGTACTCCACTTGCAAAATATGTATTGCTGTATTGAGGGCTATAAAATTTAGGCCCTACTGAAAGACAAACCATTTTATCTGAGACTTGCTTCTGTTGAACAAATAAAAGGATGCCTGCAATTGAAGCAGCTTAAAATTTGACAGACTTATAGTGGAAAGATTTTAGCAGGTCTACAGTGAGAACTTCTGTTTTCCTCCATGTGCAAGTTTAGAAAATATAAAAGGATTTGCCAAAATGTAATTGGGATTTGCATGAGTGTAATTTCTCTGGTGGGTGCTGTAAAGAGGAAGAGCCTGAGAGGAGAATTTTGAGCTCAAAGGGAAGTCCAGCGGCACTACTCTGGCACTAATCACACAGGGAGCTCTGTTTCAGAAGTTATCCAGCTTCTGCAACGTCCCTTGCCTGGTTGGATGGGTGCTGCAAGTGAAAATTAAAAATAAATTAGTTAAAATTAAAAATAAGTAAGGAGGTATTTATGGGGAAACTATATGGAAGTGAGAAAACAGACAAGGCAGCTGAAAATGCTGAGTAAAAAAAGTTCCAGGTAAAATGTTAGCAAGAAAAACGTTGCCTGATTCAGTTACTTCTTTTGAAGTCTCTCCATGTGACTTTATGAAAACAACTGCCTCTAATAAAGGTATCTTGAATATTGCAGATGTAAAATGTATGGAGAGTTGTAACATTGCTGTGAAATGACTTAACAAGGTTTTAAACGGGCTTATTTTAAAATGATACAGAATAACTAAAGTGTTCTTCTCAGAGTCACTGTATTAACAGAGAGCTAAATCTCTTAAGTACCAGTTGTCAGCATGATTTGACTGATTTTGTCCTTTATTAATTTGGCTTAATTTTACACAGATCTGTGACAACTTTGAATGAGATGCTGTAAGACTGACACTGTTTCTCGAGTCATTAACATTGGCCTTCCCAGCTGTAATGAAGTGGTTGTCAGAAAGAAACACTAAATATGTTTGAAAAGCCGCTATGCTATAGTAGAAATGTGTAACTGAGTAAAATACACATATATGCTTCAGATTTACACTTTTGTTGGAAGTAGAGCTGCTCCTTTTGCTCCTGTCCTGTATCAGCCTCCAGATGAATGCACAGGAACTGGTAACGCTCTCAGGGGGACACCCAGTGAGCTTCTGCTGTGTCACTGAGCAGAACAAGAGGCTTCTGTAAATTGTATGTGCTGTGTAAGATATTTCCCAAGAACAATGAACAGAGCTGTAGTAGAAAGCCCCCCAGTTTAAGCCTGCAGATGTGTTACTGTATTTAACCCAGCAACATTCCACTTCTTTCTGAAATGTCAAATTTGTTTCCTTTCAGCCCGCAAGTTCACAGACAAGCACGAATGGATATCTGTGGAAAACGGCATTGGAACAGTAGGAATCAGTGATTTTGCCCAGGTATTGATCCCTCCCTCCTCCCCCAGGCCTGCAATATTTATTTGGGCACATCTGCTCCTGGCCTTGCTCTTTGGACACCTGCGGTTTCTTTATTTTTTTAACTGTGTGTGTTACACACCGAGCGTGATTTTTGGGCTTGGATCTGTCACAGTGTTGGTGATATTTGTGCTGCTTCAGCATTCTGATAAGTTCTTAATTGCCTGTGGAGAGCTGAACTTGATGAGGGACTTTATTCCTTCAGTTCTTCTAGGCCTGAGCCGTTCGTGGCTGTGTGAAGGGGACATCATGTGCTTTTTTAGGTCAGATTTCCCATGGTGAAATCCCTCTGGCTAAAGAACAGTTGTGAATCGAGGTACAACATGGCACATATCTTAGGACACATCCTAGGACAGGAGTTCCTTTGGATTTTTTGTTTTGTTCTGGTGCAGGTGATTGATTTGGAATGGTCACAGGCAAATCCAGGACAGAGATTCGCTGGGTGTGAAACGTGAGAAAAATGAACGGGACAAGCTGTCAATAGGTGGAATTAATGTTTCTTGGGACAAGCAGCATTTCCTGTGATCTCAGTTCTCTGTGGATAACACTTTGAGATCCCTGGTCTTTGGTGAGATAGGGTACCTGTGTCAGGGAAGAGCTGAGCCAATTCTTATGGTGATGAGGGTCCCAATTAAGCCATTAAGGGCAAACTGTGTGGTAACAGCTCTCCAGTCGTCCCTGTCTCTGCCAAGGAATCACTGAACCTTCTTTCAGATGGCACTGGAAGTAAATCCTCTGTGCTTTGTAACAAAAAGATAATTCCCTCAAAACATTGGGAACTTTGTCCTTTGAAACAGTTGTTACTGTAACTGATGCTAAGAAGGTCAGCAGATGTTATTCCTCATTCTGCCAGAAGAAATCTGCATATAAACCGAGCCTGGGGGTTATTAGCACCGTAATAGAGAAACAGTAATTTGGCACTTGGGGCATGATAAAACAATCCAGTTTTTTCATGTTAAGTGTTTAAAAAGAAAAAGTGAAAAACATGTAATGCTTAAAGATGAGAACTAAATCTAGAGAGTACTTATACACACCTTCCAGAGTTACTGTATCAGCTCTCTGCTATGTATACTTTCCTTAAGGTATGCTTTTGTTTTTCTTTTAAGGAAGCATTAGGAGA